GAACTGGGGAGCCTTACTGTTACAAGACCAGAGTATATCCAGTTAAACAGCATTCTGACATCTGACCCTCTTCCAAGCTACATCTCCTGTGTTCTGACCTTTCTACAAACCACTCCACATCACCCCCAGTACATCACCTTCTTGACTGAGTCAACAACTGTTGCTTTATCATTTATGAACAATGCATGTTAACAGACGGGAGATGTGGAATTGACTGAGTAGATGGAAAATAGACCGGTGGAGGCTGGGAGTAGCTCAGTGGTTGAATGGTACATGGCTAAATGGAGGAACCAGAACTGCCTATGGAAGAAGTGCATGAGTCAAGAGGTACAGTGAGTCCCCAGGCCCCAGAATACGAAGGAGCAGAAAACCCTTCCAGCCTTACCCACAAGAGGAGTACTATGTGCTGACTTTAGGGAAAATGAGATCAGAAATGAAACCAGAAATTTCCTATTACTTTATTTCTTAAATGAGAAGGAATGGGCCTCAAGGTGGTCTCGTTATACCTCTACTTCTCTGTTGAAGACACAAGTTTCACAAAAGCTTTGCCAAATCTCACAGCTTCTCACAGCTGGGTTTAGCACTGGAGTGGGACTAGAATCCATGCCCCTACATTCAGGTCCTCTGCTTGCTTCACATCCAAAGCTGATTTTAGGAGAAATGACTAAGGCGTCAAATTTCCAAACTCCAACCTAACGAAACTCCCCAAGAGGACTTCCCTACCCATCCTGGCATTCCTAACACTACAAACCTAGGAAGGCTCTGAGGGCAGAAGACTCTGAAGGCTTCAGGGCTGAGGGGTGGGTAGTGGAGGAAGGGGACACAGCATAGAAAAACCAGGAATCAAAGACCCCCATCTATGAGACTGGAAGAAAAACATAAAGAACAAGGGACTTTGTGGGGACAGATAAAAAAGGGAACAGAATCCAGGAGCTTTTCTCACTTCCTTCAGAAGCCCGTCAAAGTCGTCTAAAGGGTCTGTGTGCTGGCCTGTGGGGGTGAGGCAACCAGGAAGAAGAGGCATGGTGGAAGAGTATTGAGGACTGGTTTGAGTCACAACTGGTTTCTCCCTAGGTAGAATAATCTATCAAAGGTCCAGCCTGAGTCTTGGAGCCAACTCAAGGGTCTAGACTGAGGCTTGGAGTTGATGGGCCATCACTTTCTGCTTTCCACTTTTCACCCTGTGCCTCCAAAGTCTCAACTGGAATGATTTCTTTATTGGGGAGGAGAGAAGAGTAAGGAAAGAAATGCCAGAGCTTAGAAGTTTGGGGACTGGTTTCTAAGTACCCACTTAGAACCAGAAATAGGCCATTTCCTGACTGCCTCTATTTGGTCATCCTGGTGTCAGAAACCCAGTTTCCATACAAAAAACCAAAGGTAGATTTAACAAAAGGTGAAGAGACTGCAAGTGCTATCTGATTTCAAATCAGGTCTGCCCTTGCTCCATTTGACTTCCTTCTGGAGGGGACAGCAGCTGAACCAAGGGCAGTAAGTTTTCCCAAAGAGTAAAGGATAAAGAAGTTCATGAGGGTATGAAACAAAAAAGGGAATCCTTGAAGCAACATGCCTAAGAAAACAATGCAAATGACCTACAGTTATCTGTTGATGAGCAATTTTGGGAGAACACATGCTCCCCACCATCCCAGCCTCATTCCTGTGACCCTGGTGGGGGGTCCTCTATGACCCAAGCACAGTTCTCGTCAACACCACACCGTATGTGGCCTCCAGTTGCAGATCAAGTGGTGTTCAGAGCCACTGTCCTGTGTGGTGAAGGTGAGAAGAGCTGGTGGAGCTAGGTGACAAGCATTGAGTCTGAATGTGGTTGGAAATGTTATGACAACAGGCATTAGAGACAAGGCCCTGTGGAAGCAGAGGGTGAAAGCCAGCAACTTGCCGTCTCAGATGTAAGGAAGGAGAAACAGATCCAATCAAGAACCATACTCAATTTGCATATGGAGAAGCAAAAGCCCATGGGAGGAAATGACTTTGTTTCTGACTTTCCTGGGAGCTCAGATGCCTAGAAACTGGATTTTTCCTGCTTCTGACACTTTGATAGGAATGGCCAGAAGAGCCAGCACTGATCCACACAGTCATGGGGAAACCCCATGTCTGACTAAAGCACTGGAGTTCGTGTGAAATGAGTTTCATTTTCTTTGGCTGCAACTGAATTCATATTGTCAACTTGACTGGGCCAAGTGCCAGCTAAGCTTAGGAAAGGAGTCAATGAAAGAAGGGAAACAAAACAAATTCTAGGCCAGGCCAGAGAAATGGGTAGCATATAGCTGGAGGGCTGTGTGCCTATCAGTGAGGCTAATGCAAACACACACCACAGTTGTGAAGGTTGATAAGAGCTGGCACCAAGAACTCAGAAGCCTACAAGTGTATCTGTTCAGGTCTCTAAAAATTAATAATAATAAAAAATGATCACAGCTTTCATTTTGTCTTAAATGGCTTGATTAACCAACACAGATTCTGTGCAGTCTCTCAATTCATAGAGGAAGACTTAGGGCCAAAGGAAATAGCAAGTTGCTCAAAGTCACTAATAAGCAATAGAGAGCACACAGGGAAAACAATGTTGCATGGCTTCATGAACATGTACAGTCTTAAGAAACAAGGAATAGATTTGCGGTTATAAGAGGCAGGGAGGTGGGGGCATGGAGGGATGGTGGCTCAGGGGTACACAAAGCTGCAGCAATCCGGGATGAATAAGGCTGTGGATCTAAAACACAGTATGGGAATTGCAATTAGTCATACCATGTCTGGTGCTGGAAAATTGCTGAGATATTTCAGATGCTCATAACACAAAAATACAAAGTGGTAGCTATATGAGGAGACAAGTGTGTTCATATGTCTGCTGTAAACATGTCACTGTGTCAAAACTTCATGGCAAACCATAAATATACATTATTTTATTTTTAAAATGTAAAATAAACAATATATCTGGATTTTCAACTCTAGGGAGTCCAGGTACTTAGTAAATATACCATAAGAAATGATTAAGACTAATTCACCATTGATTTAGTATCTATCCTATCCAAAACATTTGCTGAAAAGAAGGGGAAGAATACAAAAGACAAATAGAAGACAAACATGATAAGATACTGTGCTCAGGACTAGACAGATGGCTTAGTAGTTAAGAACACTGGCTGCTCTTACGGGAGACCTAGGTTTGATTCCTAGATCCTACAATGGGAAGCTCACAACTGTCTGTAACTCCATTCCAGGGGATCCAACACCCCCTTGTCAGTATGTGTACTGTATGTGTGCATACTTGTCAGCAGGTGCACACATATACATATAAGAGAAAATAAATAAATTTGTAAAAGGTCACATGAACACAGAGTTAAGAGACAAGCACAGCAGAGAATTAAGAAGTTTAAAGTCAACTTGAATCACAGTGTGAGCCCTTTCTCAACACAAAAGACAGGAGACAAGGAAGTGAAGAGGTGGTTCACAATTAAGAAGTATATATTTACTTGTGTGTTGTCTGTCTCCCTCCTCCCACTTCATCTCAGAGCCTTAACAAGAGCAACAATGAAGGGTGGTAGAAAGTGATCACTAATTCAGTGAGATTTATCATTGCAAGTTATGACCATAAGCTACACAATCAACCTCTTCAAACTTAACCAATCCCCTCAAAGGCTCAAACTCAAGATCCTCCTACCTCAGCCTCCCAAGTTTTGAGACTACATGGTGGATGTGGCTGTACACATTTGTAAATCCCAGTATTCAGGGGGCACAGGCAGGAGGATTGCTGCAAGTTCAAGCCCAGTCTCACCCATAAAACAAGTTTAGTACAGTCATGGCTACATAGAAAGAAGCTGTCTGCCTCAAAAAGAAAAATGAAAAGGAGAGGGGGGAAAAAAGAAAAAGAAGGGAGGGAGGGAGGGAGGGAGGGAGGGAGGAAGGAAGGAAGGAAGGAAGGAAGGAAGGAAGGAAGGAAGGAAGGAAGGAAATAACAAAAGGAAAGAGTGTTTTCAGTGTATGGTTACTCTTCAATAATGTTTGATCATTGCTGATAAATACTTATCGCTTATTCAGAAACCAATTTCAGCCCCTATTCCCTGGCTAAATTGTCCCTAATTCTGAATTGATGATGCATCAAATCCTTTTGAATGGAGTGAGGTCCCTATCTCTAACCCATGTTCTTACATTTTGCTCCTATAGCTGGGACTAGACTCTGAGGTTCAGCTCTGACCTGTGACCCTGAAGCAGTAGGGACCTCCAGCAGATCTCAATAGTTTCCAATTTTTAATCCTATAGAGACTCTTTTGCAGCCTATGGGATTCCCTATCAGTTCCTCTAGCTCCTAGATAGATAAATGATAGATATATAGATGATAATGATAAATATGATAGATAGATAGTAGATATATAGGATACAGTTCTTTTATTCCTATCTTAATTACTAAAATTAACTCTCAGATCACACATCACACAGTAAATATCTCTATATCTTCCTGGTTATCAAGGGAATCAGGATTACTTGGCAAATTGCTGTCAACAAATCCACTACCCCTTGTTAATTTGTTGTTATCAATAAAGTCTGACATTGTAGAAAGGCACAAGTGTGTTCTATGTTTCTGATATAGTGTGTTCATGACAAATATCCTTCCATGGAGAAAACAGGAAAACAAAACCAAGCCTGGACTAGAACTTGGGAAGTTGCCAAGTAAAGATCACTGTATCTCCACCTTAACTTAACTGACCCCCATTTTCCTTAAGGCAGCATCTTCCTGCTATCTGGGGAGGGCCTGCTTGGGAAGGGAAGATCTGAGGATGCAGCAGAGGAAGGGATTTTTCCCCTATTGTGTTTGGCCAGAGAGGGAGCTGGTAAGTGATGCTTGGACTGTAGGCCAGTAGAAGGTGATTTCAGTTTCATTTTCCATTTTGTGTATGTTCATTTGTGACAGCAGCTAATGTTTCATGTCTATTGTGGAAATTCCCCCAGTCGGGGAGGGGGGGCACTTCCTCTGCTGCCCTGGCTCCCTATAAAAGGTGTCTGAGCTGCAGAACATCCCTGCAGAGGATCCTGAGACAACAATTGCATCTCTCACAATCTCTGCCCCAGGTACCATGAAGATCTCCACAGCTGTCCTCACTGTCATCCTCACTGCTGCCACCCTCTACGCTCCTTCATCTGCCTCCCCACGTAAGTCCAGGGTTCTGATCACTACAGTTGACACTCTGTCTAGATGCCCACTCCATCCTGTCACCCCAGACCATCCCCTCTTTTCAATCATAGTATGTATACTGCCTCAACCCCATGTACATTCTTAAGTATCATTGACAGTGTCCTGTCATCCCTACTAGATCTCTAAGCCACATTATTGCAGGATCCCCCTGATGAACTGTGTCTCCAAAGTCTACACTATGAACTGTGCAGGCTCTTCTTAAGTGTGGACTGGTGCTGGGTATATCGTAAGGCAGGGTAGCTCGAACTGACTTTGAAAAGTGACTCACTCATATCTGTCAACCAGTATGGTTTCTAAGATACGTCTAATACTTTCTAAAGTGCCTGAGGTGTGATAGTCTCTCTTTTCATAAAAAAGAAATGGGGCTTGTAAAAAAGGAAGAAAGGAAGGAAGGGAAGAAGGAAGGAGGGAGGAAGGAAGGAAGGAAGGAAGGAAGGAAGGAAGGAAGGAAGGAAGGAAGGAAGGAAGGGAATTACATGCCTATTCAGGTCAGACATCATGCAGATTCCTTTACTTGTTACTTGTGCCATCCTATTTAATATGACTGGTCTTTCAATGGCTGTTCTTGACTTATGGTGGAAAACACAGGCCCAAGGAGACAAATTCTTTTCTAAGGGTGCACACTATTAGAGTGTGGAAACTGGTATTCCTATTAACCCTATCTGGATGGGAAATTAGTATCGCAGCTCTGCTGTGGGATGACAACTTAATGGCATCTTGAATTAACAGACCACCCAGAGATTCTCTGTTCAGGGTGCTTCACTACAGTCCAGCCAGGCCCCAGGATGTGAGAGGTACTTTCAGGCCCCATTTAGAAGCCTTTTATAGAGCTCGGCTTTGGATGCTTCCCTAGCTCTTATTCTACACCTCAAAGAAACCTAGCTTTAAATCAACTAGGGGAGCTGAAAGAACATGGCAGAAGGTCCAGAGTGGATAAAGAGCCCAGCAAGTGTTATGTACAGAGCATAAAGCATGTGCTAGGCTCTAGGACCACATAGGGTTTGGACAGACCCTTTCAGGCTCCTGAAAAATCTCCACTGTGGCAACTGTGTCCGCTGAGCCTCCATTTCTGCCAAGAGAGAAGACAATGGACACTGCTTTCAAGATAAAGCATGTAAAGAGCCCAGAACAATGCCCAACATAACTGGCAATTAATAAAAGACTCTCCTTCTCCTCCTCCTTCTCCCAGGTGGCTCGGACACCACTCCCTGCTGCTTTGACTACCTCTCCTTTACACTGCCTCGTGTTCACATCAAGGAGTATTTCTACACTAGCAGCAAATGCTCCAACTTTGCAGTCGTGTAAGTCTCAACCCCACGGGTTCTTCTTTGGGGTATAGAAGCCAACACCCCACCCCACCATGCCCTGACTACAGCCCTGCATGATCTTTCTGGGAGAGTGACCCCTATCACCCCCATTCACTCTCTAGGCACTTCAGATAGCCATGGCTCCTCATCTCCAGCTCAGAGTTCCCAACCTTAACATAAAAAGAACTAGACACAGTATCCTTAGAGCAGTGTTTCTCAATCTATGGGCCATGACCCCTTTAGCAAACCTCTATCTCAAAAATATTTACATTGCGGTTCATAACAGTAGCAACATTACAGTTATGAAGTAACAACAAAAATAATTTTATGATTGGGGGTCACCACAACATGGGAACTGTATTAAAGGGTCACAGCATTAGGAAGGTTGAGAACCACTGCCTTAAAGGATCCTGCCTATCCTGACAGGCACAGTTCCTAGGACAGCAACTTTTGCTAGCCCAACTTTTACTTGAGCACAGGTTGAAATGCCCTGGAGAAGATCCACTCCATCATCCCTCTCCAGTTAAGAGCCCAAAAGTTCCTATTTCACACCCAATCCAGCTCAGCGAATCCTCTAAGGAACTAGGCAGGGTCAAGGTCAAGATGAGTCAAGTTCAGAACAGGTCAAGGTCAGAACCCTAATTTCAGTCAAGTAAATAAAATATAAAAATCTATCCATTTAAGAAGTCAAAATGAGATTCAGCTTTAAGTATGCATATGGATAGATTTGGGGAACTATAATAATCTCTGCCACACAGGGAGTACTTACTGGAGTGTTGTGTCTATGTGCACTGTCTCTAAATTGTGCATAGCCCTGCCTGGTATGCACAAGTCTCTCATATAATAAAACTGAAATTCAGAGGCGTTTTCTGACTTACTCAATGCTGCATAGCAAGTGAGGGTTGAAGCCTGTCTCTGAGGTTCCCTCTGTTATAAAACAAAGTCAATAGTGACAACAGCTTAAGAGAGTTAAGATGCTAATGATTTAGAGAATGAAAATAAAGAGCTATAGAAATGGCTCAGTGATTAAGAGCACTGGCTGCTCTTGCAGAGGATCCAGGTTCAATTCCCAGCATTCACATGATGGCTCACAATTATCTGCAACTCCAGATCCAGGGGATCCAATGCCCTCTCTTCTGACCTCCTCAGGCATCAGGCACATACATATATGGTATACATACATACATGCAATGAAATATACACATATGTCTAAAAAAAGGAAAATGGAACAAAAAAGATTGAAGTGTTAATCAAAAAAATTAAGATTTTATTTATTATTTACATAGTGTTCTGCCTGCATTATGCCTGCAGGCCAAAAGAAGGCACCAGATCTCATTATGGATGGTTGTGAGCTACCATGTGGTTGCTGGATATTGAACTCAGTACCTCTGGAAGAGCAGTCAGTGCTCTTAACCACTCAGTCATTTCTCCAGCTCCAATCCAAAGACTTTTGTGACCCTGGCAAAGTTGAATTTGGGCCCTGGTGAATTACTGAAAGTATAATATTAATATTTAGTATTACTAAATTATCTCTAAAAATTAGTATTTTTGAAACCATTCCTTGAACCTTAGGAGCAGGAAGAGATTAGTAAAATTGCCATCCTTGGCTATGGAGATTTTATATAGTAAGAGTGGTAAGTGAGACGCAGAATGACTAAAACACAGAGGAGAAGGTGTGTCTAGCTTCAAAGGTGGGGGGGAGGAATTCAGAGGTGATTACTATAAAAGATGTTGTTAGTGGAGAGGCATGGAGAAGTGTGTGTGGAGGATGGGATGTATCTGAGAACATGCTCACAGGCTTCTACTTTACTAAGTAGGGACATGTGAAGGAAAGCAGAGAGTACCTTGAGTGTCACAAAACTAAAGAAAAACTCAGAGTTGGTAAGAGTAAAATGGCCTGGATCAGGGAAAGCCTAGGAAGAAGGGATCTAGACAGGAGGCTGTTGAAGTCACCCACATGTGTAGTTATCATCGGCTGAGTGGTACCCAGAGGCAAGAAGGAGCAAAAGTCAGGAGCTTAGGAGGATGAATCAGCCAGGATAAGAGATTTATGGTCAGGAGCAAGAGATAAACGTAATGAGCTTTCTAGGCAAAGACGGAGAGGTATGCAGGTGTGCAGGTCTGTAACAGGCTTTTTCTTTTGGGCCACTAACCAGCTCCAAAATCAAGATGCAGAGATTTCTTATTAGTTATGAATGCTCGGTCTTGTCTTATGCTTGGCCCACTAGTTCTTACAACTTAATTTAACCTGTTTCTCTTCATCTATGTGCCTTGGGCTTTTTGCCTTTCTTTCCTTCTGTATATCTTACTTTCACTGTTTCTCCTGTCTGGTGGATGCCTAGTTTCTGGCCCCAGGCATGTCCCTCTCTTTCTCACTTGTTTTCTTCTCCTTCTCCTTCCTTGAGCCTAGATTTCTCCTTCTACTTATTTTTCTCTCTGCCTGCTGGCCCCAACTATCTTTTCTCTGCCTAGCTACTGGCCATTCAGCTCTTTATTAGACCAATCAAGTAACTTACTCAGGCAAGATAAAACAAATGCAACACATCTTTACATAAACAATGCAGCATAAACAAATGCAACATACGTTCACATAGTTAAAGTAATATTCCACAGCATAAACAAATGTAACACATCTTTACCCAGTTAAAGTAATATTCCACAACATGGATCTAGAGGGCAAATTGGAAAAAGGAGGAAGGAACCAAGCAAAGTTCCAGCAAGACAATCCATTGAGATGTTGGATGGAGGGCTGGAGGGATAGATAGCTCAGTCGTTAAAGGCTATGCTCACAACCAAAAGTATAAGAGATGTTGGATGGAGTGTAAGCAAGAGGCTGAGGAGAGAGTCCAGGAACTGCCAATAAAAAGAAGCTATGTCATATTGTCTTAGTCATCCCTGCTACAGAGCTGGTCTGCCATGTTAGAATCCTAGTTATGCCGTTTGGTAAGCAGGGCCCCTCAGCCTCTCTGAGGTGGTTCCAAAAGAAGGTAATTAAGGCACTTTTTTTCACTAGGTTGCAGAGAGAATAACAGTCCTTAGACCATCCCTTGGCACATAATAGGATAAAGAAGTATTAACCTGCTATTGTTGTTATCTAAATGGTGTGTGGGTGTGCATACATATGTTAGGAATGAATGAAATTCATTCATCTAATCATTCATTCAATAAATGTTACCAAGCATCAACTATATGTGAGGCCTGGGGTCAAAGAAGGAAAGAAGAGAACTCAAAAGGGCAGTGTCTTTGAGGGCGCCTGCTCTTAAGAGACAGGTAGAAAGGGAAATCAGATGAGCAAAGGGTCCCAAAAATGGAGGAAGGAAGGAAGGAAGGAAGGAAGGAAGGAAGGAAGGAAGGAAGGAAGGGAAGAATTAGCCAAGATGACTTGTTCTTGGTATCACATACTGTATAAAGGAAGAGGAAATGGAGGTCTGAGCAATCCTGACTGCAGGAGTTGGCACCCTGGTCTTTTGACTCACTAGCTAGCTACAGGCTGAGAGTGCCTAGAAGAGCGATTAGCCAATCTTAGGGTTCCCACTTAATTTCCTCAACTCAGGTTCTGATATAAGTACAATCAATACTCAATTTCATTAAATTCAGCACTCCGCATAAGTCAAGGGCCAAAAAAAAAAAAAAGGCCAGTGCTTGGCCTTCTCAATGCTGAGTTCCAGATTTGTGTGTTTTTGTAGGGAATTAACATGCATGAAACTCTGCCTGTAGCTTGGTGCCTTTAGCTACAGCAGAAAAAGAAATGTCTTCTGAAAGGAAGAAAACAGTTCTGAGCTACAAAAATGCCCTAATAACCCTGTAATCATTCCCCTTTATGCTTTTCAGTCTCCTTACACCAAAAGCTGCCCCACTATTAACCTCTTTTTCTCTTCTACAGTTTTGTCACCCGAAGGAACCGTCAAGTGTGTGCCAACCCAAAGAAGAAGTGGGTTCAAGAATACATCAACTATTTGGAGATGAAGTAGAATAGAGGGTTTCTCCAGCTTCATCCTGTATAACTTACCTATCATTGCTTGCTCTAGTAATAACCAGCTTGGGGATGCCACTCAGCAACCCCCTGCTCCCACTCATTCCTGGGAGGGCATAGATGCTACCATACCATAGAGATTGTAACAACGTTCTCTTCTAGAGCCTGGGAGATCTGCTGAGGCCCTGCCCTGTGACAACAGGAAGTAACCAGGCTCTGAGTTTCAGGCTCCTCAGCTTGGTTTGGGAGCAACAACAACAACAGCAAAAAGCCTGTGTATCTCTCAAGCAAGGAAAGCAAATGGAGACCCATTTGCAAATATTCATACCTTAGGCCCTCACAGGCTCTGCACAGCAAACCCAAGAAACCAGCACTTCATTAAAATTCTGATGCAAGGACAAAGCTGGCTCCTGATTTGATTTCTTTCTAAGAAACCCTCTTCCCTACAAGCATTAAGCATGCAGAGATCTAGACACATACCTGGTATCAACATCAAATTTAGGCCTGTGCAGTTAGCAGGTCTGGGAGCAAGCACCCTCTGAAAATAGATAGGCAAAGCTGGTAAAGTAACCAGTGGCCTATCTACTAGGATTAAAATCTAAGTATCATGATGTACTACTACCTATAAGAATTTATATGGATACCTATCACAACACCTCCCTGCCTGCTTCCTCAGGCTTTTAATGACCCTTCTACCTTAGCCTGACCCATACCTTATCTCCAGTGGGTTCCTCTAACACTATTATATTGTCCCTAGGACAGGACTTAAGGACAATTTCAGAGGCCTACATTATTTCGGATAAGGTTTTAAAGTTTTTGATAACTGTACCAGCACATTGGGGTGGGGGGTAGCCCACCTTTCCCACCTATGTGTCCCTTCAGGTGAACACATATAGATAACAGATGTAGTCATAGTTATAGATAACATTAGTTGAGCACTATGTGCCAAGAATTGACTCAGCTCCTCACATTCATCGCCCTCTTTTGCTTTATAACCTTAGAATGGGTATTAATATTAGATGTTTATTATTTTCATTTTTAAAGTATGTGTGTATATGAGACAGACAGACATACACACCTGAACACACACACACACACACACACACACACACACACACACACACACAGGATTAGGAGAATGGACATATGTGCCATGGCGCACAGTGAATGGGTTCCATCCTCTCCTTTTATCTTCTCGTGGGGCCCAGGAGTAAAAATCAGGTAACCAAGCTTGTGTAGCAAACATCTTTACTCACTAAGCCATGTCACCAGCTCAACACTCAGTAAAACTCATGGTAAAATGGAGCTCCACAACAAAAGGAAAACAAGTTTTAAAAGTTTCCAAACCCATTAGATCTAACATAAATTCCTACATGCTTGCCCAGCTTCAAATTACAATTTTTTAAACACAAAAATTTGCAAACAAATTTTTAAAATTCTCTGGTATATACATTTTTTTCTGAGCCCCTCAAAGCTGCCAATGCAATATCACTACACCCCTAAGGGTTTCAGTATTATCTACTAATAACAAGAACATTTTATATAGCTACAAAGTGAAAAACACAGGAAACTTAACAATGACACTACTATTTCCTAATGCATAATCATCAAATATGTATTATCATATCCTCTCACTGTCCCAGCAATGCCCTCGATGGCTATTTCTCTTTAATTAAGAATCTAAGTCAGGCCAGAAAGTGGTGGTGCACACCTTTGATCCTAGCACTAGGGAGGCAGAGATAGGCATATCTTTGTGAGTTTGAGTGCAATCTGATCTACAGAGTGAGTTCCAGGACAACCAAGACTACACAGATAAACCCTGCCTGGAGCAGTAGCGGGGAGGGGCTAATTCAGTATATAAATGGTATTTAGAGATATATCTTTTTAGTATTAATTTTTTTAAAAGCATAATAGGATCTCACTGTGTAGCCCTGGCTGCCTAGAACTGGCTATGTAAATCAGGGTGGCCTGGAATTCTCTTGGATTCATCTGCTTCTGCCTCCAGAGTGCTGGGATTAAAGGCATGTGCTACCAAAACTGGCCTTTTCAGTGTTCCTTAACACACGTTTTGGCTTTTGGCTGGGGAGTGGGGGGTGGTTTTCTATGTTGCCCTAAGTTGCCTGGAACTCCCTATATAGATGAGGGTGGCATGGAACTTAAGATAATTCCCTCCATCTCTCCAGTGCTGAGCTTACACAGCTGATCCACCATGTCCAGTCATTTGTCAGGATCTCAATATATAGTCCAAACTGGCCTTGAACTTTCAGGCTGGAATTAGTGTGTGCTACATCGCCTAGCTGAACAACATTTTTTTTTTTGGTCCTTAAGAGCATTGAAATTGTTAGATGTTTATATTTTTGTATTTGGTCATTTAGATTTTCTTATTTCCTTATAATTGGACTCAGATTAAGTAATTTTGATAGGAATTCCAGTTGAGTAATGTTATCTTCATCTATGTAGCATATGAAAGCATAGAATGTCAGTTTACTTATATTAAGACAGATAACTTAATGATCCATATTTTAATAGTTTTTAGATTTGTTTATTCCACTTTATGTATATGAGTGTTTTGCAAACATGCATGTATGTTCACCACATGTATGTCTGCTGGATCCCTTGTAACTGGGATAATAGATGGTTGTCAGTTACCATGAGTGTGCTGGGAATTGAGCTCAGGTCTTCTGTAAAAGCAACAAGTGCTAACCAGAGTCACTTCTCTAGCCCAATGATCCATATTTTCTTGATACACTGTGTCATAGCTAATCTTGGTTGAAAGACTGAATGAGTCTGGCCCAGCAGTAGTGCCACACACCTTTAATTCCAGCACTAGGGAGGCAGAGACAGGCGGATCTCTGTGAGCTGGAGGCCAGCCTGGTCTAAAAAGCAAGTTCCTGGATAGCCAGAGCTGTTACACACAGAAACCCTGAATGAGTCTGGGATCAACTAGACCACTGTCATACCTGGAAGGGATATTCTTTTTCTTTTTTCAAACATAAATTAAAAATTTTTATTTTATGTATAAATATTTACCTGCATGTTTGTGTACCATGTGTGTTCTTAGTGCCCATACAGGTCAGAAGAGACATTAGATCTCCTGGAATGGAGTTTTAAACAATTGTGAGTTGCCATGTAGGTGCCAGGAACCAAACTCAGGTCTTTATTAATAATCTTAACTGATGAACTACCTCTCCAGCCCCTTGATCAGTTTAGCAGTAGTAGGAAGATCTACCTTTAATGCGGACAGCATCACAGGACCAGACCCTGGACTGAAAAAAGTATGTGCTAAGCACAAAGTGTTCTCACCATGCCTGACAGGCTACTGTGACTTCCCTGCCATAGTGGATTATAACCTGAACTAAAATAAACCCTTTCATACATAAGTTACTTTTGTCAGAGTATTTTAATCACAGCAACAGAAAAGAAAAAGACACACAGTAGGCTTCCTGCTGTGTGTTGACCAATACTGTTAGACACTGGAGTGGAGTGAAGAAAGGGATTACGTCAGAGCCGTGTGGGGAAGCAAGCTTGGGGAGGAAAGCCTTCAGAAATTACATCATTGATATGTAGTTGAAGGAACTGAGTCAGGTAGGAGGGGAGGGGAAAGGCTACAAGGCAGATGGAACAACATAAGTAAACAAAAGAGATCTGAACAGCAGCTTCTTACCCCACACCCTCCCTTCTATCAGCAAGGAGGGATGTGCATGCGTATAACAGAGGTTTCCTATCCCTGTCACTTTCCTGATGCCCAATCCTGTGAACAACCCCTGTCCCTAGCATGGGCTGACTTGAGCTGGATGGTTCACAAACACTTTGCGCCCCACCAAAGCCACTGGAGTCCAGCAAACATGTGACTTAGCCACTTTTCTGCTGAAGGAAATGAAGTGTGATGAGCAGCTCAGCCAGCAGGCCAGCAGAGGCCAGCAGTGGGGCTCAACAATGGAAATGAGTTCTGTTTCCATAGGCAACCTGGTTGGCGCTTGGAAGCTTCCATCTCCAGAAGTCAGTCCCAGTGCCTCCCTGGTTTCTCTTGTGCCAGAGGAAGGGGCCTTGTCAAGCCCTGCCCCCTTTGCTTCACATCCTTGAATTTTTGGCTGTCCTAGTTCACCTCCGGCCTACACTAAAAACGATGGATCATGAAAAACAGGCCAGTTTCTCTCAAATGCCCAAGTCAATGTTCAACTATCCATGGCTGGAATATCGAAACAGGAACAAAAGTGAGGATGGGTGGAAAGGACTGGAGTCAGGGGCAGGGTGTGCTAAAGCAAAGCTAGCTACCCAGACCCAACTCCAGATTGTTAAGCCCTGGGTTTAACAAATCCATGGGAAAGGCCAGGGTAGGCCTTTGAGCAGTTGATGGTTCCCCCACAGCCTCACAGTAAGTCTATTTCTTCAGTAGGACTTACTGGATTATCTCAAGTTCGGACACCTGTGTGTTCCCCAGCTTTTCCCATGCCTGCCTGTGCCTTTTCTCTGCACCAGCTCTCGCACCTCCAGCTTTGGCATAAGGTCTTCCCTAAGTCCACTGCTCTTACCCCTGACTTTTCTGATTAACTCTTTTTTTAATTTTGAATTTTTAGAGACAGGGTTTTTGTGTAGCCCTGCCTGTCTTGGAACTTGCTCTATAGACCAGGCTGGCCTTGAACTCAAGAGATCTGCCTGCCTCTGCCTCCTGAGAGCTTCGATTAAAGACAGTCACCACCACTACCTGGCTAACTCTTGCTTATATACAAGACTTGGTCTGTATCATCTTCTCAGGAATATAATTTTTCATCCCCAGCTCCCAATGTGCCTCTCAGCCTCACTGCCTGTGTATATTCATTTCCACATTAGTTTCCCTTTGTAAATCATCACAGACCAGAATTTCTGCATCGAATGCTAGGTGGTTCTCACAACGTCCCAGAATGATCAGATCAAAGCCTCGAGAATCAGATACTAGGGAGATGAATCCCAGAAATCTGGGTTTTAACATGCTTTCCAGATGAGTTTAATGCAAATTCCCATCTAAGAAAACGAATGAAACCAACAGTTGTCACCTTTAACAAACTATTGGATCTCCAGGAGAGCTTCCCAAAATGCCTAGGCTCTATTACCACAAACCTGACTCAAGTTAGTCTGATACAAGGCCTAAGTGTGTTCAACTATCATTACAGTAATTCTGACATGGAATTACTTAAATGTCAATGACATGGAAGGCACCAGGGATCTGGTTGAAGTTCCTGGTGGCATTTCTGAGAGGCTTGTAGGCACAGTAACAGAAGACCATACGACACTGAAGGGAAAGGGCCACCCTGGTTTCTGGGAAAATCCCTAGTGCTAGCATTTACTAACTGCAGAACAAATGAATGCCTCAACAAGCATTTGAACCCACATTTTTAAACTACTGTCTCATCTGTACCACACATATATCCTTGCTCCTCTTGCCAGAATTCAAAAGAGCCATGGCTCCTGTTCACCTGCCCTTGTCCTGTTACAAGGTAAGTAACTTTTGTTACCTTCGGAACTGTGTCAAAGTAGGAAGAGCACCAAACTCACTCCCAATTCAAGCTAGCTCACAAAACTACTGACATTCTCTTATGAGTCTGCCATTAATACTGTGTGATCTTGGGCAAGTTACTTTCTTTCTCTGAGAGAGCCTTCACAGTCTCCTCGTTTTGGTCAACAGTGCTGGCCTCCTTGTGTCTGCAAGGCCTGGGCTGTGCAGAATGCTTGCTAAAAGAAATCATTTTGTTAATGCAGCAATCCTTACTTGGGGTTGCCAGGTAAAACAGACTGCCCAATTAAATTTAAATATCCCATTAGCAATGCATGGGTTTATTTAATATATAAACACCCCAAATATTTTATTCATCACCTGAAATTCAAATTTAAGCTGACAGTCTTTTGAAGTTTCTTATTTTGAAGTTTCTAAATATAGAAAACCTATATTGAAGTCACGATAATCATTGGGAAACCCTTAAGATCCTATCAGTCACTAAGTTGGGACTTACTGGCTGAAGTCCATTGTTCCCTTTTGCCCAGAGAGATCTGTTGTAAAGATAGAAAAGTTTGAGAGATGGCAGAATCTTGGCCAGATCCTCAGAAAACCACTGGCCTACATGAACCCCTCTGCTACAGTCATAACTGTACCACGAAGTTAAAGGCTTGGGATCTAATTGCACGAGGTTCTACATGTAGTCTCAGCAATACACACAACAGAATAGTCATACAGTTAAGAGTATTTGAAGGAAGCCTATGAAATTCATGGAGGCGGAGAACTATGTAGTATACATAGTTCTTTTCCCTAGCTTTCTATATTCCCCCAGCCCTGACCTCCATCCCCTTTGCCCATGTGACCTTTCAAAGGCTTTGAGATACTCAAGTAAACAAACTGTGAACTCAGATCAATTACAAATCCTTTCAAGATCTAGAGTGACTTTGAGCATCACAACTATCTTGGGAGAGGAACAGAACAAGAAATTAGACTCATTTTACAGAGAAGACTGAAGCCTTGATAAAGTAAACTTTTCCAAGTCATATAATGGGGGAGATGGTAGTTGTGGCTCCAGACTAGATGAGAGGCTTAAAGTGGTATCTCTCATGTTTCCTTTTCTTCCCTTCAATACCCCTTCTCTGGCCCTAGCACTCCAGTAATGGTCTAGGGGAGCCCTCTGACTGCTCTGCCACTTTCTCTCCCTACCAGTTGCCAAAGGAGGCATTTCCCCCAAGTCCAGAGTGCTGGAGGGTTCATCCAAGCAGGCCAAAATCAACCCCTGTCTTCTATACTAAGAAGCCTGAACTCTTCATACATTGGCGCACCCTGTATGATCAACGCAAGGAACGGGAATCACAGAAGGTGTTTTGGAAAAGGAGAACGCTCCCAAGGTGTGCTTTGCCCATCTCCATACTCTATACCGTACAACTCCTCCAGGAAAAGACAAGAATCAAGATGGTTTGGGTCAAGAATGGGACCAAGTCAGGTGCTAGAGAGGACCCTGGGGTTCTAGAAGAGCAGCTCCATCAAGTGGGTATCATTGACCACTTTGATATCAGTCTTTCCCTGGTCTCTTCTCTGAGGCTCTGTGGTACAGCTGGGGTTGTGGCCTGAGGAGGAGAGGAAGAAGGCTGTCTGTGCAATTTCTCACACAGGTACTTCAAAGACAGTGCCCAAATACAAAACCTCCATGTCTCTATCAGCAACTTGACTTTAAAACCTAAGTTGGGACCCAGGTTGTTAGATCCCACCAAGGACCCTCTGAAGTTGCAAAGAATAAAGGTCAGGACCATGGTGGGATGAGGACTGTGAGCACTCCTTTCCTTTGGATACCTTTACCTTGGGTTCAGAATACCTACCCTTCAGCCCTGAGTCCTTCTCTGCAATATGGAGGGAAGGGAGGATGGGGACAGGGTTGACTGTACTCATTCCAATTTGGAGTTCTGCTTTTTTCTTCCATTGAACTGGCCAACCTTGGATGAGCAGGAACTCACAAACAGCCTGAAATCTCCAAGAGAGGATGAACAGTGCTATGCAGCCTATGTGAGAAGCAGCAAGGGGATGCTGAGAGGGCAGCTTCCAGGGGTGGTAGCTGAGATGGAAAGGGAAAAACAGTTAAAGGTGGATGTGGGGGGGTGGGAGACACCCCAGGTATAAATTTCAGCTGTGTCCAGAAGACAATAACTCTTGAGCTGGTATCCAAGGTCTTTTTCCTTTCCTCTATCTGTCTTCCTGCAGGCTTTAGGCCATCTGGGCATCAATAGCAAGTTTGTCATAGAAGCGCTGTGGCAGGTGGTGAGTCTGGGGGCTGCATGGAGTTCAGGGAAAGAGGAAAGAGGGTGTGAGGTTTGTAGAGGGTGGGAGCATGGGTACATGCTTTTCCCAGAGCACCAAGAAAAGTCAGGTCCACTGTTGTATGGTGAAGTCCCCATCTTGTGCCTTTGGCCTCTTTAGACTGCAGCTTGAGAGGAGTGAGAATCTTACAATCCTCCTAGTTTATGAAAACACTTTGGACTAAAAAGCCAAAAAAGAATTGGTGGCTCATGCCTGTAACACTAGAACTCAGGAGTTGGAGGCAGGAAGACTGCAAGTTCCATGAGAGCTTGAGTTACATGACTAGCCTGGGTTGCATAGCAAGAAACACTAAGGACTGGGGAGGTAGCTTGGTAGTAAAGCCTTGGCTAGCATATACTAGGCCTTTGAGTTCTATTATCACATATGGAAACATACACCACCCTGGGACTTAAACATATACCAACCTCTGACTTAAAACATTACTCCAGGCTTACATATATTAAGCTAAGCATCCCTGCTATCATTATTGATGGTAGTAATTGTGTGTGTGTGTATGTGTGTGTGTGTGTGTGTGTGTGTTTGTAGACAGATTTTTACTATGTTGCCTAGATTTTGAACCCATGGGCAATCCTCCTGCCTCCAACCCCCAAGTGTTGGAATTACAGGCATGAGTCACCACACCCAGCCTGAGCCCTAGTCACTCTTTATAGTCACACCTACAATCTTACAGAACTCTCAAATAGAATCTCACAAATAGAAGTTCTGAGACTACAAGTACTTGCCAAGGCAAGTGACTACAAGAAGTCAATTCCCTGGCTTGGTGTTGCTCCCATTGTATCATCCTGCCAGTATACTCTGTATGAACATAAACAAGTCACTATCTAGTTCTCTGACTTCTATTTTGTGGAAGTTACACTGAAGCAATCCTTAAAGCTTTGACTACCTATCACTTTATGGTATGTTTTCACTATTTCCTTCTTAAATCAGGCTCAAACTGGTTCAGCAAAAGTGAAGGATGAGGCCTATAGAGCCCTGGCTATCCTAGGTATGTTCTCACCCTTTGTAGGGAGTTGGGAAGGTATTAAAGTACAATCACTTTCTTCTATGAGGGTGGGTAGAAGAGAAGTGGGTATGAGCCCACTCTAACCTAGCATTCTGCAGGGTCTGGGAACTACCCTAGGTACTGTTGGGCAGAGAGAAGGCAGGATGAAAAGGGAAAACAGACGTGTGGGAGGGACAAGGCGGCCTCTACAAGTTGCATTCACGCTTAGCCTGCTCTCTGACACAATGAGAGGATGGGAAACCCCTTGGAAACCAGTACTTGGACCTCCTGTCTTAAGAGTAAAGTGGCTTTAAATGGGTCCTTACAGAGAGGAGCAGTTCTTGAGGCCCTGACCTGACCTGAGCACTTTCCCTGTCCAGGCTGCTTGAATAAGTCTGTGATCCGGGCTCTCATCAAACAGTTGAAGAAACAAAATCAGAGTCAAAGGATAGAGACCCTGATGGGGCTACGAGTAGCTCTGAACTCCTGGGCTGCTGTGCGGAATAGCAAGGTGATTGGAAAGATAATCTGTAATTGGGGAAAGGTCAAGGTAATTGGTGATTTGGGCTGGGACTTGAGTCCAGAAGAAGGTAGCCTGTATTAGAAGACACTGTCATTTTGGAGTTCCCTCTAAAGTTGAACAGAAGTATAGGCTGATATACTACCATTAGACAAACTCTGTAAAGCTGAAAAGAAAAAGAGTAAATGAGATTCCGTAAGAAACCAGCATGCCTATGCCCTTTAAGTGGGAGCCATCATTTTCATCACCTCTAAAGCAGCCCACTGAAGCAACATCTCTGTCAAAAAGGAACAGAGAATAAGGGAGTCCACTGATACAGCTCTTGCTTATTTCCCCTTTTAGAGCCCTCACTCTCTAATTCCAACAGTGCTTCAAAGAATCCATTACTCATCCATTTATTCAGCAAATACATATTAAACAGTTTCCATGTGCCAGGTACTGTTGGTCCCTTGAGAGTAGCAAAAACAACAAAAAGGCAAAGCGCCCTGCCTTTGTTGTGAGACTCACAAAATAATTTAATTATGAAAGTATATAGTATGTTAGAGATCACAAGTGTGGTGAGAGGAAGTAAGTAGCATCAAGATTGCAAAGTAGGGATGAAGATGAGCTGTAATTTAGACACAGTAACAGAGAAGGTTCAATATGAACAGTGAGTGAACTTGAGTAAGACATGAAGATGCTTTATAGCTACCTAAGAGAGGATATTCCCAACAGGAAGACTAGTCAGCACAAAGGCAGGAACATGATTGCCATGGTCAAGGATCAGCAAGAAAGGCCAGTGTTGTTGAAGTGGAATCAGAATAGAAAAATCAACCAGAAATGAAGGGCTAGTCAAAAAAGTTAACAGATTAGATTGTATGTGGCTTTGTGGGCTTTTTAAATACCTGGGCTCTTACTCTATATAAGGGACTTTTAGAGGTCTTAACCAAAATGTAATTTTCATTTTAAAAGTTCATTCTAACAGGTAGGTCCCTTGTGAGTTCAAGGCCAGCCTAGTCTACAGAGTAACTTCCAGGACAACCAGGGCAACACAGAGAAACCCTGTCTTAAAGAAAAAAAATTCACTCTAAATGATGGCTTAGGAGAAAGTAGGTGGTAGCCAAAAAATAAGGGAAAGAGTACAAAAACCATGTGATGGCCTGAGGCTTAGAGAGAAGTAGTATAGAAAACATGAAGCCTGAGCCAGGAATAGCAAGCAGCATGTGCCTGAAATCCCAGCTCTTGTGAGACTGAGGCAACAAGATCCTGAATTTGGGGTCACCTATAAAATGAAATGAGATCCTATCACAAAAAAAGAAAAAATTAAAAGGTGATTGCCAGATGAAGATACAGCACCTCCTACTGCTCATTTCATATACTTTTTCCCTTTAAGAGACCTGAAGTTGGAAACGAGGAAGAGCTGGTGTCTGTGCTGCAGAAGCTGACAGACAAGTCATTGAACGAAGTGTCTTTAGAGGCAGCCCTGTGCTTAGGTTTCCTGAGGCCTAGCAACAGCATGGTACAAGAGTTCTTGCTGCAATTTCTGTGCCAAGGGCCTATGTCTCAGAGGATGAAGGTAAAAGAGGCAGAAAGCCAGTTTCCCTGCGAAGTGCATGCTTGGCAAACAACGGCCAGTGTTGACTTGAGTGGAGTATGGTCCTACCATCACATCCCAAAGAAAACAAGCTTCAGCTGGGTGCACAGCACAGTTCTCTGTGTGTTTATGAATATGTAAACATGTGACTATGAGGATATATGGACAAGTGCACATATACATATATTTGATATATGAGTTTTCATTTATGTGTGCACATATCCACTTGTACTCTTATTCAAAAGGCCAAGGGGCAGAAAGAAGCACTCTCTTTTGGTTCCCAAATGAGTTCTAAGCCCAGCCCTAAAGTCTGCTTTGCTGTCAACACACCTCTGGTCACACCATATACCCTACCCTATTCCATCCTTCACAGGCACTTAGGATGCTGGTCAAGATGATGAATGTTCACTCAGCTGCGGTCACCAGGGCCATTCTGGAACAACTACACTCTGATGTCCTTAACGTAAGCTCTAGGCTACCTTCCTTAGCATAGGAGAGTTGGAGAGTGCAAATATACATCATCTTTCACACCTACCTGTCCCTTCCCTTAGGATCGCTTTGAAGCTACCCAGATGCTCAAGACCATTGGGCTGGAAAAGATCCAGGCACAGGGGCTGGAGGAACTCACATTTGACCTGCTCAAGAGGAAGATACACAATGACCCCTTCCTAGTAAGACCATAGCTCTCAGTCCCAAATCTGTCTCCTCTTTATTCTCTTGAGGTGATGATTCCCAACAAACCCCACACCCTAGTTATCAAACTGGTTTTACCCTATTCCTCTCATGTAGTCCATGTTTTTAATCTACCTTGTCTGGTCAAGCAGTTCCTCAGCACAAAAATGCCACCCAAACTGCTTCCTTCTACTCATTTCTTCTCCTTTCTATGAAAATGCAATTGTTCCTTCCAAACTATTCTAAGCCCAGTGTGGTAGTATACACCCATAATCCTAGTACTTGGATGATCAGGAATTCAAAGCCAGTCTCAACTACTTATCAAGTTTGAGGACCCTGTGGGCAACATGAGTTGGGATAAGCAAGGATAGTCCAAATAGCATCTGCCTTTCTCACATCCATTGCATTTAACTTTACAGAACCCTGGCATGTCCACGTTGTTCTAAAATGTAGATTGTCTCACCTGTTCATAAAACTTCTCAGTGGTTTCCAGTGCCCTCAGGATGGCTTACTTTGTATCCTATCTCAAGCCCTACTTACCTCTTTATAGTTTTTTTCCTCCAGGGCTAAGAACCAAACCCAGGCCCCTGCATATTACAGAACCCTGGCATGTCCACGTTGTTCTAAAATGTAGATTGTCTCACCTGTTCATAAAACTTCTCAGTGGTTTCCAGTGCCCTCAGGATGGCTTACTTTGTATCCTATCTCAAGCCCTACTTACCTCTTTATAGTTTTTTTCCTCCAGGGCTAAGAACCAAACCCAGGCCCCTGCATATGGGAGGCAAGTGCTCTGCTACTGAACTATGTCTCCAGGCCTTGATTCTTTGAAGACTCATTATAGCTGACCTCAAACTCGAAGTCCTCCTCCCTCTGCCTCCCAAGGGCTGAGATTATAGGTGTTCACTACCCCGCTCAGAGCCTCTCCAGTTTTACTTCTCAGAGCCACATACCAGTGGCTATATCCTGATTTGCCCTCATATACCAGTATAATTACTGAGTGCGTTCTGAAAAGCCCTGGTCTGACCACCTCAATAAATAAACTGTCCCCCATCTCATCCTTCCACTCATTCTTCAACGACAAACTGAGGCAACACTTCCTCCAGGGAAATATCCCAGAACCCAAGATCAAATATGTGCACCTGTCAGAGTACTGTAGTTACCTGTTTGCTTATCCTTTACCTATTCAGTTGTTCAAGGCAGATACCTTTTGGAACAAAAACTGAGTGTTTAACAAAGGTGTATGAAGTAGTGCAATGGTATATCCCTGCATTCCTTCTGTTTTCCCACTCTGCAGGCAATGAGGCAGGCTGTGTCTGAAACAGCAGAAGTTCTCAAGATGAAGCCTTTAATAATGAAGCTGATGGAGGCGTGAGTTGGACTAGATAGAGCCAGAAGGCAACCAAGGGGTCGGCTGAAAACCTTATCTCTATTTCTGGATTTCTGGGGCAGGTCATTCTGACTCTAGGCTTTTATCTGTTAAAAAAAAAAAAAAAAAAAGCTAGTAATACCACTCAGGGTTGCTATAAAAAGTCCTATAGCCGGGCGGTGGTGGCGCACGCCTTTAATCCCAGCACTCGGGAGGCAGAGGCAGGCAGATCTCTGTGAGTTCGAGGCCGGGCTGGACCAATACAGAGAAACCCTGTCTCATAAAAACCAAAAAAAAAAAAAAGTCCTATAACCCCAAGGGAATTTTTAGAAGACCAAGAGTTATGGTGACGATCAAACAAACCCTGATCATTTTAGTGTTTCATGGTGAACTATAATATCTGTCCATCCCAGCATCTCTGATTTGAGAAACAAGAGAAGGAAATGAAATTAGCAGCACTCACCATCCACCATTATGCCTACTTACTCTGGAACTGAGATGTAACCAGCCTCCCTGTCACTCTCCCTTCCCTGTAACTGAACAACATAATCCCTTCTACACAGGCAACTGATGAGTCCAGATGCCAGTGACCGCCAGGAAGCAATCATCTCTTTAGTAAGATGGGCTATTTTTTGATTCAGTTCTTGAGGTATACTGATGTTGATGGGGGAGTAGATGATTTAGCAGCTACTGAGGATAAGAAAGAACTGTGGTTTGGGAAGATTATTTCAGAATTCAAGTTCTGTTGAAGGTTTAAGCCTTGGAAAGAGTAGGGTAAATGAGAGATGGGTATAAAGGACGCTATTAGGTATTACCGAAAAGGTACTGACTCACTGATAATGGGATCTAAATCCCCAAAGGAAAGGAAAACCAAATCTCTCTGTAGGCCATAGGGTCACCTCAAAGGGAGTAAAATGGGAGAGAATGGGGCATCTTACCTTCCTGCTGGCTACTTAGGCAGACTTACTCATTCTCTGTCCAGGGTGCCCTGGGGATCCGTAACCAACAGGTATTCCACTTGCTGCTGGACATGCTAGATGCAGAAGAGACCCAGGCTGTGAAGAAGAGTGTAAGACATCCCTGTCACATACCCCTCCCATTCACCTTACTATTTGTTCACAGTCAACAATGGGGAATTGGGGCAAAAGTCCTCAGACACTGTCCCTTGGCTTAATTCCTTGGAGTCATAGTAACTATGTCTAGAATTTCCTCTCCCAAGTGCTACCTCCTTTCCCAGCCCCAGCCCAAAGTGAGTCAGCCTCAGGGTCTTTGTTTTCTTGCAGATACAAGAAACATTACTTGTTTGGGCCTCAAGCAACCCCTGGGTACAAAAAAAGCTGCAGAACAAGGTTTTCTTTGTGTATGACGTACCTAAAACTGTGAAGGTAGAGCCTACAAGGTTCAGGAAGGAGCCTGAGGACCTAGATGACTTATGTATCAAAGACTTTCGACGTGCTAAGCTGAGCCCCTTGTTCATCACAAAGTCCTGCAACAAGCAAGGCGAAAAGCAAGAGGCACCTGCTTTCTCATTCTATTTCTCCAAACCAAGAAAGCAAAGACCACAGGTCACAGGGCCTTGGGAGCCAAAAATCAGGGAACAACTCCGCAACTTGGTGAGGCCTCAAAATAGGTTTAATATTTGGGCCTAATTCCTACTCTCTCCTTCAGGATGGCTTCCTCATAACTTTCGTTTGTTCTTTCATGAGTAAATACTTGTCATTTTACCTAGTTTCTGAAGCACCACTGCTATTCACTCCCAAGGCTGGCCTGGAACAGACTCCTTCCCATAGTTTCTATGCAGTCACATGTCCTTTCATCAGAGCAAAGGGGGAAGGACAGTCAAAAGTTTTCTCTGTGGCTAGCTTTCTTCTTGTTATGGCTTCATTCTGCCCTGTGATGAATACCATTACCAGAAACAACTCTGGGAGGAAAGGATTTATTTGGCTTATACTTCCAGGTCACAGTCCATCATTGCGGGACATCTGTGCAGGGATTTAAAAGCAGGAGCTTGAAGGCATGAACTATGTGGGAACACTATCTGCAGCTCTCCTATATGTTCATGGGGATGATACCACCCACAGTGAAATGGGCCTTCCTATATCAATTTGGAATCCATACAATCCCCCCATAGACGTGCCCACAGTCCAATCAGATGTAGGTAATGCCTTAATTGAAGTTTTCTCTTCCCAGGAGACTAAGATTGTGTCAAGTTGACAAAAAAAAAAAAAAGCAGGACACTTCCCTAAATCAAGTCCCTTGTTAGTGCCCAGTATCTGCCAACAAAACTACAGAGCTGGGCCTCTGCCAAAAGAAAATGCAGAGATCTTGTGAAGTTTGCTTCTCAGATTGTTTTATTAGCTTTGCCCCAACCTCATTCATCTCTTTAAAATGGTGAGAATTTTAAATTTTAAATTTCTTTTATTCATTCACTGGTGAGTACCTGTTTGTGTATGTATGATTCCATGCACCATAGCATAACGTGGAAAAGTCAGTTCTCTCCATACAGCATGCGGGTTCCAAGTATCCAATTCAAGTTGTTGACAAAAAGTGCCCTTATATGCTGAGACTTTTTTTTTTTTAATCTCGAAAAAAATTGGTTTTTCTGAGCCAGCATCTAGCTATGTATCCCAGACTAGTTCTGATACTCAGCTTTAGTCAAAGCCAATCAAACTTTCTGCGGCCTCTGTACCTCACACTCACTCACTTAAAAAGACCCCATTAACTGTAAAATTGCCTTAGTTTTTCTTATTTCTATCGACATTTGGATTTCCCTTTGTCAACAATTGGTGAGAGTATACCAATCTCAACAAGGTACAACCATATTAAAAGGTTGCCAGATATGGTGGTAGTGAATACCCACAATCCCAGCATTTGGGAGGCTAGCAAGAGAATAATAGGTTTGTGGTCAGCCTGTTCTACAGAGTGGGTTGTTAATATTTAACCAAACCCAGGTCCTCTTCAAGAGCAACAAGGCTTTAACCACCAAGCCATATCTATAGCCCTATACAGTGAGTTTAATGCTAGCCTGAACTATATACAGCAAGAAAAAAAAAAAAGTGGTGAAAGGGAGGGAGAGAGAAGAAATGAGGAAGGTAATATAGCTGGTTGGAGTGTGAAACCTTTGAAGAAATACTGATTTTTTTTTCCAGACAGTATTTCTCTGTGTAGCCTTTGATGTCCTGGAACTCACTCTGTAGACCAGACTGGCCTCGAACTCACAGAGATCTGCCTGTCTCTACCTCCTGAGTGCTGGGATTAAAGTGGGTCACCAAAGCCCAGCATGTAAATACTGATTTTTTTTTAAATGCAGTACAATGGTTGACAATACAATACAAAGAATGATCAACATCTGAGAACTCTGGCAGGTAGCTAAATCAAGACAAGATTTCAGATAAGCAAAGAGATGAGAATGTTTGAAGAAGTGGAGCTCATTGATACACTTTATTAAGGAGCATGCAGAGATCCCATTTCAAAGATTTGTTACAGAGGGGTATGTTATATTTTGATGTTGTCCTAGAATCAGTTCTAATAGAGAGTCTGATGGTTGAGGGGGCATCTTGGAACTCTGAGAGGAGGTAATGAGAAGGCTCTGACACACTGGTGATAGACCCAGACGGTAGGTGCTATGTGAAGACATGTATGCTCAGTGCTATCAAGTCTGCTACTGAGGATTGGTGAAATTAGGTCAAGATGTTACCATGCGGAGACTGGTTATCTAGTTAAGTAAGAAGACATACCTCCTAAGACACCACATATATGGAAAAAAGGGGTTAAGGATTTGGGCAGGGTTTTACACAAGTTGAAAGCTTAAACAACATAGTTTAAGAACACAGTGTTTGTGCCTGTAGACTGTTGAAACCCAGAGAATTAAGAATTACATTGCTCGCCAGGCAGCTGGTAGCACACGGCTTTAATCCCAGCACTTGGGAAGCAGAGGCAGGTGGATCTCTGACAAGACTAGCCTGGTCTACAAGAGCTAGTTTCAGGACAGCCTCCAAAGCCAGAGAAACTCTGTCTTGAAAAAAAAAAAAAAGAATTACATTGCTCATGTATCCAAAACCACAATGGCCAAGGAAAGAACATCTTTCCTGTCTTTGAACATTGTGCCACTGTCAGGAGAGATCCTAGGAAGTGCTTATATTCCAGAAGAGGGAAACTACACTCTCTATAATTAATTATCCGATTTTACTTTGCATTCAGAATTCAATTCTCTACTAGAATTTTTACTAAGGCAGTAAGTAGTTCCCAACAAGGGGCAATTCTGCCCTAAGGCTTCTGGCAGTGTCTGCACACCTTTAGTTGTCAGGACTTGGTGTGCAGAAGGGCTATTTTTTTTTTCTTGGTTTTTCGAGACAGGGTTTCTCTGTGGCTTTGGAGGCTGTCCTGGAACTCGCTCTGTAGACCAGGCTGGCCTGGAACTCACAGAGATCCGCCTGCCTCTGCCTCCCGAGTGCTGGGATTAAAGGCGTGCACCACCAACGCCCGGCTTCAGAAGGGCTATTATTATCTTCTAGTGAGCAGCTATCAGGGATGCATACGACAACCCCCAAAAGAAAAATATCCACCTGGGTGTAGTGGCAAGCACCTCTAAATCCATCACTCAGGAGGCAGAGGCTGGAGGCTCTCTTAAATTCTAAGTCATGCTACTTACAGAGCCTGTCTCAGAAAAAAAAAAAAAAAGACATAACATGGTATCAGGATGTATGTCTATAAAGTCAGCACTTATGAGGCTAAGGAAAGAGAAGTGTTCAGACTTTTACTACATACCAAGACCCTGTTTAAAAAACAAGGGTGTGGAGAGAATATATAACCCACTTTGTTAATTTACTTTTTTGTGTAAGTGAATACCAGTGTGTGGAATATCTGTGGCGATCAGAAGAGGGTATCAGATCCCTTGAAGCTAGTTAAGAGGTGGTTGTAACCGCCTGATGTGGGTACTAGGAACTGAACTTGGGTTCTCTGAAAAAGCAGCAAGTGATCTTCATGACTGAACTATCTTTAGAGAGAATCTTACACTATATGTAGCCCACACTGGCTCTGAACTTGTGACCCTCCTGTCTCAGCCTCCCAAGTATTAACATTAGATGTACCACAAACACATTAGCAGCTTTTCAATTCTTGAAATTCACTCTTCCTAGTATTACATTAACTTAGACAAAAATCATGTTCCTTCTCAAATGTAGGTACAGTTCACAAAGTACGGTATGTAAGTGGAAGTGAATATTAGTACAGGCTCTGAAGCTACAAAGGGACCACAAGAGATGAAAAAAAGTTCTTTCTTCCCTTGGGTCTCATTAGCCATACAGGTTATCTCGTAGTTCCAGGATCCTCTTCTACTCATCTATTAAATGTGTCTGAGTTGTACTAAACGCCTTTCTCTACACACTGTCTTCCCCAAACTAGTACCATGGGTGACTTTTCAAATGCCTAGGCTTCATTCAGATGTTTGGAGTAGAGCCTAAACATCTTTATTTTCAAAATTTCTAGCTTTTATATACAGCTAACATGGAAAACAAGTGTTCCAGACAACTTCTTCAATTCCCACTTATTAGGTGATTGATAACTTGAAAATATGTATAATGAAGATGTTACAAAAGGTGATATGGAAATGGCTAAGTGGGGGCAGTATTTTAGATAAAATGGCCAGGAAAAACAAGAAAATGGGCTGGAGAGATGGCTCAGAGGTTAAGAGCACTGGCTGCTCTTCCAGAGGTCCTGAGTTCAATTCCCAGCAACCACATGGTAGCTGAAGGCCATCTATAATGAGATCTGGTGCCCTCTTCTGGTGAGCACATAAACAGGCAGAACACTACCTAAAATGAATGGATGGATGTGTGCTATGATTTAAAAAAAAAACAAGAAAATGGTAGACCATAATCTAATGCAATATTGAAAAAGGAGTAGGTCATATGAGTATCTGAAAATACCACACAAAGAAGATATGCTAAGATACAGAAGCAGAAGCCTATTTAATATGACCAAGAATTATAGAGCCAAAGGTTGATATAGCTCAGTGATAAGAATGCTTGACCAACATGAATAGAGCTCTTGGTTCAATACTGCCAACCCATCAAAGAAACAAAAGAAAGAAAAGGGGGGGAGGAATGAACACTGTGGCTGAACAAAAATAGCACGAAAGGATGTTATAGTAATAAGTTGGTGAAAGACAAATCTTATAGTATCTTGTAAATTGGAGTGAAAAATTTAGGGTATAGCCTGTATGGAATATAAAGCAATTCAAAAGCGTTGAAGAGAGATGGCTCAGCAGTAAAGAGTGCTTACTGTTCTTGTAGAAGACCTTGGTTTGGTTCCCAGCACCCACATAGCAGCTCACAATCAAGTTCCAGGGGACCCAAAGCCCTCTTCTGACTTCCACAGGCTCCTCTGCACATATGGTGCAGATATATACACATAAAATTAAATAAACATTAAAAAAATTAAAGTCACTTGAAAGTTTTAAAAAATAGTGACATACAGTATAACTTACATCTTTACATCATCTAGTTGTATAGGGAGACTTGAGAACACACTATAACAACTGTCATAAAGAAACAAATGTAGCTTATTATCAGAACTAGAGTATAGATTGTTTTAGGGTATATTTTGAAGGCAGAATCAAAAGGCCTACATAAATACAGGATGTAAGAAAACAAAAAAGCCTAAATTTAGATCTGATCTGGGTGGGCTGGTAAAGATATTAGATGAGGAAGACTAAGAAGGTGATATGGAGGATCAAATATTCTATTCAGTACTAGTTTAAATTTTAAGACTATAATCTTAAATTCCTCGGGTGATTATGACTCATCCTGGAGAACCACTATTCTAAACAAAGCAGGAGCTCAATAACTAATAGAAATAACAAAATTATATTTAAATTTACTTGGGTAATAGTAATTTTCTAATACTGTAGGGTTAGTTTGCTGTACTGAGTCCTAAGTGTGATAAACAATGCACTCAATGTCCACAAAAAACAAGCAGCTTTTATTGTAGTATTACAAAACACTTTCCATTTTGGCAATATTTTACAACGCACTTAGCTTTAAGGGTTGGGAAAGAGAAGGTGGGAAACTTAAAAGGAAAAATTTCAACAGACATTTCTAAAAGGAAAACTGTCCCCAGCCCTCCCACCTGAATAAAAACCCAAATGTCAATTTCACTACCCAAGAGGCCATGAGGAAAGCAGCAGGCAAACTCTTGACAACTCCATTATGAATCATGTCAGAGACAAAGGAATATTCAAAACAGTCATCAGTATGGTCGATTGCGCTGATCATTTCTGTAGTCGTTTCTAGGGATGAAAAACAAAGAACCAAAATAAATTTGGTTTGTTTTTTTTTTTAACCAATGGTACATTAGGTATTTCTTCAGAGTACTGGTGACAAGTACCAGCTAGATACTTTCTATAAAAGTTGGCAATACAACTTATTTCTGTATCCCAAGAAAGTATTTTTTTGACAGGGTCTCTTCATAGCGCTGGCTGTCTAGAATTCACTAGTTTATACTACCTTCAGTAATATAAGGAACAAATACAGGCTTTGAAAATCCTCCAAGATACTTTAAATTTTATCAAGTTATCTCTTCATCCCAATTTTCTTTAGCCATAAGAAAAGTAAAAAAATATAGATTTATTATTTGCAAAATAAAACCAAAACTTGAAATTATTAAGCAGAGAACTAAACATTTTCCTGAAAGATTCAATAGGGTTAAAGAAGAAAAACAAGTAACACAAAATGGCTTGAACCCTAGAACCTGGAAGCAGTGAGGCAAGAGTTCACAAGTACATTTGAATACTCACCTTCCTCCCATTTTGCCTCCATAGCCACCTCGGTCTCCTCCATAGCCACCTCGGTCTCCTCCATAACCCCCACCTCGGTCTCCTCCATAGCCACCACTTCGGTCTCCTCCGTAGCCTCCACTTCGGTCTCCTCCGTAGCCTCCACTGCTGCCACCACCACCACCACGGTCTCCTCCATAGCCCCCCCGGCTTCGGTCTCCTCCATATCCTCCTCGATCACCTCCATAGCCTCCTCGATCGCCTCCATAGCCTCCTCGATCACCTCCGTAACCGCCTCTATCTCCTCCATAGCCTCCCCCTCGGTCTCCACCATAACCACCTCTGTCTCCTCCATAGCCACCTCCTCGGTCTCCACCATAGCCACCACCTCTGTCTCCACCATAGCCACCTCCTCTATCCCCACCATAGCCACCCCCACTTCTGTCTCCACCATAGCCACCCCCACTTCTGTCTCCACCGTAGCCACCTCGGTCTCCACCTCTGCCCCCACGGCCTCTGTAGCCCCTTTCTCCACCGTAGCCTCTCCCCCGGAAATCTGCAAGGTAAAATAACAAACCAATTAAGACCAGTATTAATAATGCAAAGTCTCCCCAATGCTAGTTAGAAGATAAGTACCTTATACATGCAGTTAAAGGACTAACTAAAGAAAGAGCTGGCCTACCTCCCCCTGAGGGACGAGAGTCCTCTGGTCTAGGCTCATTGCACTGATTGCAGGAATTCCTTCGAGCAAAGTTCATATTTCCACATGACCTGAAGGAGGAAAATAAAGTGTTCCTAAGATTCCAAAAAACCCGGAATCCTTCCTTATACCCTCCAACTATCTCTATACACCCACCAAAGTAATGGCATACTTACGGATTAGGGCAAACCCAGTCCCCATTCTTAGGGTCTCCACCTCGCCCCTGAAAACCTCCACGGCCTCTATATCCTCCACGGCCTGGGGACAAGACAGAAGTGAAAAATCAACATCAGGCATTAACAATATATAGGAAAAACACAAGATGACAGAAATAAGAGAGTTCGAGGCCAGACTGGTCTTCAAAGAGAGTTCCAAGACAGTCTCCAAACCTACAGAGAAACCCTGTCTCAAAAAAAAAAACAAAAAACAAAAAACAAAAAGGAAAAGAAATAAAAGAATAAAGTACCCATTAATACCTGGACAGGTCCCTTCAAACTTAATTTCCATTACAGCAAGACTAATTTTTGGAGGCTCCACTTAAGAAATACAGCAAACATTAAGAATGGACCTGGTAGCCGGGCAGTGGTGGCACACGCCTTTAATCCCAGCACTTGGGAGGCAGAGGCAGGTGGGTCTCTGAGTTCGAGACCAACGTGGTCTACAAGAGCTAGTTCCAGGACAGCTACCAAAGCCACAGAAAAACCCTGTCTCAAAAAAAAAAAAAAAAAAAAAAAAATGGACCTGGTATATATTACAATATAAATACTACAGTAAAAACCCTTCAAAGTCTACTTTCAAAATAGTTGACATAGTTTGCGAACCTCAGTTATAAAAATTAAGTAGTAGATTCCAAAGTTGCGAAATGGACCCGATTTTTAAAAAATCAAGAAGCTGCATTGGAGTTTAAAACTGGGTCAGCTCTGGCAGTGAAACTCAGCAGGCAAAGAACTTGTTCTAAGCCTGAAAAACTGAGTTTGTGCATATGCCCACACAAATAAATGCTTTAAAAAAGTTAGACCAACTACCTAACTAGTTTTCATTTAGACAATTGTTCCAGAGCCTTTAACACTGCTGTAAAAGCACTGCAAAGGCATTTCTACAACCTTTCCTACCACTTTCTTAACGACTGGAACATTCTCATTTTAAGATGAAAGGCAGTAGACTTGGAGAGATGCCTCAGTGGTTTAGAGTACTATGTACTCTTGCAGATCAGGGTCTGATTCCCAGCACCCACATCATAGCTCACAACCATCTGTAACTCCAGTTCTAGGGGAATCCAACAGCCCTTTCGGGCATCCTTGGTGCATATACATACATGCAAGCAAACCACTTATGCAAAAGCCTTGGAATGGGGGTGGGGGGATGGCAAGAGGCTAGTGGATCTCTGAGTTGAGGCCAGTCTGGTCTAAAGAGCAAGGTCCAAAATACCTAGGCTACAGAGAAATCACGTCTTTAAAAACCAAAATATAAAAAAAAGTAAAATTTATGGGGCTGGAGAGATGGCTCAGGGGTTAAGAGCACTGGCTACTCTTCCAGAGCTCCTGAATTCAATTACTAGCAACCACATGGTGGCTCACAACCATCTACAAAGGGATCTGATGTCCTCTTCTGACACGCAGGTGTACATACAGAGAGAGCACTTATATACATAAAATACATAAATAAATGTTTTTAAAATAAAAAAGGATAGCAAGCAATTCTATGCAAGCAAGGACAGATCAAGACACAAATTCAAACTCTGTATAGCATTTGGGCCTTTTTATTTATTTACACAGTGCTGGGAGTCAACGCCAAGAATCATACCTCTTCGTCCACCTCCACTTCCACCACCTCTCATGAATTCAGGCCTTCTGGTGGCAAACGAGACTTTAATGATATTTCCATGGAATTCCTTTCCTAAGAAGAAAAAAAAAGTTTCTGAGGCTGAACAAGGTGGTACATACTTATAATCTCAATACTCAAGAGGCTGAGGCAAGAGGATCACTGAGATTTTGAGGTCCTGGCTTCAGCTAACAATTAAGACCCTTTCTTCAAAAGAAATGGAGGGAAGAGGAGAGTTTTAAATAAATGCTACAATCCCACACTATACCTCTACCTCCAGAAAAAAACAAACCATCTTGGCTATTTTTAGTTTCACAAGAATAAAGACACCCCTGCAGAAACCCAAACTAGTGCTGTGTGTTCCAAACAGTTCAATAGTGCTAAAATATAACCCATAATGTACTCAACAGAACAGACCTTCCATAGGGAAATAGTTGTTTCTTACTAAAAGACAAAAAAAAAACTAATATTTTTAATACTAAGTGCAGGTAAGTTTGTTTTCCAGTGTTGAAGGTTGAACCCAAGGCCCAATGCAAACACTCTACACAGCACTGACCTACACTCCTAATTGATGTTTAATACTTTATATAAAGATCTATTTGTAGAATTGTCAACTATGTCATCATTTATTTCTTAAAGAGAACTAGTATATGCACATATATATATATAAAATCTCCACATACATGCGTGTACATGGGCTTCCTAATGTGCTTATAATTAAAAATAAACAAACAGGTGGGGGAGCAAGGTTGGGGCTCAGTTTGAATGTAAAATTGTCCACAACAGGATCATATTTGAATACTTGGTCCTCAGCTCATGGCACTGTTTTGGAAGGTTGGAGCATGTTTTGAACAAGGTACCTAGCTGGCAGATGTCAATTAAGCCAACTTTCTATACTTGTATCAGGGTTAGAATTAATGTGCAAGGTAACAAGGAAATAGTATAAACAAGCAAAGACACAGTTCATCTCATTTCTATAAGCACATAAAAGCACAAGCTTGTATTCTTGACCACTTAAAATGGAAAAATAACCATTGTCTCACAGAGTATGTTTTGTCTTCCAGAGTAGACAGACAGCATATCTGAAGTATAAGAATGGAGCTAGAGAAATACTAAGCAGTTAAGAGCACTGGCTGTTCTTCAAGGGCCCTGGTTCAATTCCCAGTACCCACATGGCCTCTTACAGTCATCTATACCTCCATTTCCATGTGATGTACTCTTTAGGCATCCAAAGGCACCAGCTGGGAGCAAATGTCTGTATGCACAGACATACATGCAGGCAAAACAACCAAACACATATATAATTTCAAATATAGGAATGAAGCATACCATCAAACCAATCAATGGCCGCCTTAGCTGATGGAGGGTCATCAAATGACACTGTTGCTTCCCCTTTTGGCTTTCCCGTGTCTTTGTCTGTGTAAAGATTTATCATTGGTTTTCCAGTCTTTTTGTTAGTCTAAGAAAAGAAAATGACCAAATTGGTGTTGTATTTCAGGAATAAGTGATCATGTATCAATCAGGCAGATTTTTTTCAAAGATTATTTATATATATATATGCAGCATGCATATGAGAGTTCAAGTCCCTTCAGAAACCCTTTAGATTCCCTGTAGCTAAAAACTACAGGATGGGGTAAGCAGCACAAGCAAGGGTGCTGAAAACAAACTCAGGTCCTCTGGAAGAACAGTACAGAGCCATCTCTCTAGCCAGGTAAAGATTTTCTTAAAAGGCATCCACACATTCATACTACAAAATATTATATACTTAATATGAAAATGAAGTTATCTGTAGGTGTGGGCAATGAAAACTTTCCATGCTATAGTTAAGTGAAAACAAACTATAAAAACCTTGTAAGGGCCAGGTATGGTGGTATATGCCTTTAATCCTAGTACTTTGGAGGCAGAGGCAAGGTCAACCTTAAGAGTCTGAGATCAGCTTGGGTCTACCTAGTGAGTTCCACAACAGACAGGACTTTTAAAAAGTCTATTAAGGGTTAGCACATATGAGGGTCTGGATCCCACTTCCAGGACCAGCAAAAACAAAACAAAGCAAAAAACCCCCCAAAACAAAAACAAAACCCCTAAAAAATAGTATGCTCTTTATGTGTAACTTATTTAAACCCATAAAAACCAAGTGGATTTCTATGTGGATAATGTTTCATAAAAAATATATATTTCGTAAAACATTTAAAAGCCAGGAAGAAACTTTCAAAAAAAGCAATGTTATTAAGCAATACATTCGGCTTTGGCTGAGATGCTGGTGGCGCAAACCTTTAATCCCAGCAGAAGGGGTGGGGGTGAGGGGCAGAGGCAGGTGAATTTCTATGAGTTCAAGGCCAGCCCGGTCTACCAGTGAGGTCTAGAATGGTTCCAAAGCTACAGAGAAACCCTGTCTTGAAAAACTAAAAAAAAAAAAAAAAAAAAAAAAAAAAAGAGTGGATATCCATGGTGTCTTGCTCCTCTAAATCCCAGTACTCAGGAGGCTAAAGCAGATAGATTGCGCCTGGGCACAATGGGAAACTTTATCTCAAACAAACAAACAAAAAAAACTATGAATTTGTATGTGCTTCATGTATAAATTTAAAAAGCAACAACAACAAAAAAAAAAACCAATAATTCCTCAACAAGGAAAATGAGTAATTTTTTCAACAGCCAAAGTAAGGTATAATGAATGCAATAATGTCAACCAAGTATTTTCTACCTAACTCTGCTCTAAAGGCTACTTTTCAGTTCAAGATGAGAGGTACATGCACAAAATTAAGTAACAATTAAATGAACAACATAACAAACCAATTACAAGATAATGGACTAATATAGTACAGACATTAAACGAAGTTATTAGTAATAACTTTAGTTTGCATATACTGGAGTTTCAGAATCCAGGAATGAAGCTTAGGCACAGGCAGAGAAAGATAAACATGAACAAGAAACAAAATGCACTTAGTGTGCTCCTTAGTTTTGGGTGTTTTTTGGGGGAGGGGCAAGCGACTCTAGCTAAAGTCATCTGGGAAGAGAATCTCAATTGAGAAAATGGTCAGATTGGTCAATGACTCATGTGAGAGGACTCAACCTACTGGAGGATTTGCCACCTCTGAGCAGGTGGTCCTCAGTAGTGTATGAAAGCAGGCTGAGCAAACAAACTGTGGGGAGCAAGCAAGTAGTATTCCTCCATGGTCTCTACTTCAATTCCTGCCCTGACTTCCCTCGATGATGGATTTTTTTTTTTTTTTTTTTTTTGGTTTTTCGAGACATAATTTTTCTGTATTGTTTTGGGGGCTGTCTGTCCTGGAACTCACTCCATGATTAGCCAAATAAAATAAATCCTTTCCTTCCCAAGTTTGTTTGTTTTTTGTTTTTTGTCAAAATAGTCTATCACAGCAATAGAAATCTAAATAAGACACTTAGCAAAGGCCTATAGACATAGAGGAGCATGTGCCTTACAAGATTTAGATAATGCTTACTAAATAGTATACAGACTCACAATGGAACACATGTATCCTAATTAGAATAATTATGAAATCTTTAATGTGACACTTTTTACTTACCTTGATAATTCCTATTTGCTTAAAGAACTCTCCTACTTGATCTGTAGATACACCCTCCCCAAGTCCTTGCACAAAGATTGTGTTGTTATCTGAATTATCAGATTCTGAATCTAAGGGGAAAAAATTACAATCAATTTCACGTACATATTCCTTGGTTTTACTATTCCTGTTCAGTAATCAAAACCATTTATTGGCTAGTATTAGGTTGCTTCTAAGCCCCAATAGAAGGGCCAATATGAAATCTTATATAAACATGCAAAGTATACATAGTAGTTGTATGGAAAATCAATTCTTACAACAAAACTTCAGTAAAATGCAGGTTACACTCTGAAATACATACGGACAAATTAAGGGAGATGTTAAAAGTATTGCTCTTCAGATCCAGGACTAAAGCTCATGAAGAGATGAAAAAAGTTAATTAGCACACCTTTCTCTGAAGAATTTTCAATTGCATATAGTCATTCGAATGACTAATCAATACTTTTAAAAGGCTTTCTAGTACAAAATTCCCCCAATCTGGACACTTGACTTTCAAGCCAGATAGTCAAGCTGGTTTCCCATTCACTGCAAAAAAAAAAGCCTTATATATATCAGAAGGTAAGAGCACCTGGTACACACACCTTACCTTACACGCACACTTTTGGATTAGTACAACAAAGTAAGAAAGTTGTATAAAAATTCAGTCCATCAAGGGATAATTCAGAAATTGCCATCCATATAGAATACTTTGGCATCTTAATAAAAACAAAAGTTCTGATTTCAATATATTTTAAATATTTTTTACTCAAATAGATTTTAACCTCTAAACCATAACTTCAAAATGCTCCAAAAGCAAATCTACAGCCTGGAATTCATCTAAAAATGAAAAGCCACTTAAAATTAGTGCCTTTCGCCCAGAGAAAGACAATTCTCTTATATATGAACTTAAATTTCTTATGCTCACTAAAACCAATCTAATGTAAGAACCTTTTATTTTATTACTATTATTATTTTTTTGTTTTTCTAGACAGGGTTTCTCTGGATAGCCCTGGTTGTTCTGGAACTCACTCTAAACCAGGCTGGTTTAAACTCAGAGATCCGCCTGCCTGTGCCTCTGAATGCTGGTATTAAATGTATGCACCACCACTCCCCAGCTGAAAAAGTTTTTTAAGCACAGCATTTTTTTATCTCTATGTTGCTAAGGTAGTACACTTCTCTTAAATTGGACTGTATTAATGCTAGTAACAGCAAAAATTTGAATGTTTCTTCAAATAAGAAAAAGCATTAGTACAGAACAACACAAACATGGCAATTTCTCTAGAAAACTTTCTAATCAAACGCCCTGAATTTTTAGTTTTTGGTATTTTTTTAGGAATCAAATTGCCCAGATCTGGAAGCACCATTAAATTAACTCTCCCTCTAGTATTTTCTCCTCCAACACATTTTCCTCTTTAAGGGGTGAAAAACTGACATTTTGTAACTGCAAAACCAAACTATCAAGAATCTTACCAGCATCTGGTCTGGGTCCATAATCCCTGTGGCCTACAAGAGAAGAAAAGACAAGGCTGTCTAAGGCAACTCTTTTGAAATTGAAAGACGATAATAACCAAGCATGTAAAGTCAATACTTCCAAATCATTGAAAGTTAACCATCACAGGTTCATAAAATAACTACTTAAATAATTTTTATTATTAAAAGTCTAAGAAATCAAGATGAATATCAACATTTCCTTAAACTTGTCCAAGATGGTACCTACTACTTGTCATTATTTTTGTATTGCTTTTGTCAAACACTGATTGTAAAAGACTAACTGGAAACGCCTAATAATTTAAAAACACCGTGTCAACTACCTTTATGAAAGAAAAAACCTACTGTCAAAACCCAGTAAAATCCTCATTCATTGGTTACAGACGCTTTCATGCAAATGCACTGTGTAGAAACCTACTGGACTATTGAAGATCAGATTTGGCTTTTAATATTTACTTTGATATAAACGTGTATACAGAGTATTTTTTTAATGCACACAACACACCAGCCTCAACAAAGTAAGAAAGGGCTTAGACTGCATCTGCAAGATATTGGTGGCTTTTAGATTTATATAGCATTTCCACTGAAACATTTTGGGATACTCAGCACTTACCACCAAAATTTTTGAAGCCACCGCGGTCACCACCACTGCAGAGGAAAAATTGAAGAAATGATTTCTTCCTTAAGTCTCTAATGTGCTGAGCCCTGGGCTCAATCTACACTTAACTGTCACAAGTAGAGTGCCTAGGAAAATAGTAGCACCACTAACTTTCCAGTAAATTCCATTTCAGAGTTCAATGATTCAATCTAAGTGTTTTCTCTAGGATTTATTTCTACAAGTTATCTGTTTGCATTTATTATGATGTGCTTTTTATGTTAAAAAAAGGCACTTCCCAACCCCAGGCCAAAAGATTACTACTCAAACCATAACTTAAAAAGCATGAAGAATGTGAAATTTGAGCAAGTATTCTTTTCCAAGGGGTATTTTTGAAATACAGGAAAAAGGTAAAAGACCAGAGATAATAAAAAGTAAAGTTAAACTTTGATAGCAGAACAGGAAAGGTAAAACCTGAGTATAGATTCTGCTCTGATATTAAATTATAGGTTTTATGAGATGAGCTTCTTTAAAATGATACATAAATTTAAACAAAAATGAGCCTGAATGAAAGTAGTCTCAATATTTGAATTTTTCTGAGAAAATTGATAAAATGAGGACTAAAAACAGCTTAACTCAAAACTGTTCTTCTCCATTATCCATTGTAATATAACATCTTTTCATATCACAGCTAAGGTAAAATGCTACCACATGCTCTAAGTATCAAAGCAACAGAATATGTTAGAGAATACAAATACTCCAACATTATAGCTGCCCATAAAATGACTTTACTTGGCAAATTTACAGTATCAGTTAAGTCAATGATCCTTATACACACAGCTTTATGTAACAAATCTAAGTAGCTCATACTAATCAAGAAATTAAAACAAAAAAATTCTATTTACCCATAAGTCTGTTTCTCTTGACTGAAATACATAATTCTTCTAAAATGCAGGTGCTGATAAATAACACAAAATTTCCTGGTCTCTGATTTGCTGCTCATCTTATCATGATAGAAGCTATCTGCTTACAAATTTCTGCTCTAGTGATTACCCAACTCTAGAAGGCTTTTCTAAGTCATCCAATGAAAATTACTGACTAAATGAGAAAGCTTTCTCTTTTGTATTTTATTACCCTGACATAAAGATACATGTGTTTACTTTGCTTTTGTTGTGTAAATCACAGAAAACTTTTCCAACAGAAGAATAAGGTTAGTTCAGGGCTATGGAGACAATATTAAACTGAAGTCCTTCATAGATACAGCTTTGTATTTGAAATTATTATTTCAGCACAGTACCTATGTCTTCCCTATACTTTAAATAACAGGTATATCACTGCTACCTCTGTAAGAAAGAGAAGCTAGTCATTTTCATTTTGAGACAGGGTCTTAATAATGATCGTGAATTTGCTATGTACATAAAAATGCCCTTGAATTCTTCCTCAAGTGCATTTGCCATGAAGAGCCCAATAAACTAGGTCAAACTGTTAAAAACAAATGTTTCCTTTCTTTTGCAGTACTGGGGATTGAACATAGAGTCCCATGCTTGCTTGAGTAGGTGGTCTACCATTAAGCTATACTCCAAGTCCCTTGAAAATATTAGAAGTCAAGGTTCCCTCAAAGATAAACCGCAGAATCCCAATGACAGACAAGAATTCTTGAAAATTTCAAACCCACATTTCTTAAAAATTGTTTAATGTTTAATTTCTTTATTTTCTTATATATAATACACCCATGTGTGTGTGTATGCAGCTGTGCCTGCATGTGGCAGCCAGACATCTAGTGTCTTCTTCTGCTCACCACCTTGTATTTTGAGATAGGATAGGATTTTTCACTGAACCTGAAGTTCATGGATAAACTAGAATGGCTAGTTACTTATCCAGCACTGAGGTTACAGGTGTGTGCCATCACATCATGTTAGGAGGTTAGGCTGTTTAAGGAAACTAGAAGCTAGATGTTCATAAGATATATCCTAACTGCTTTGCAGTCAACAAAACTGCTGATTTGGCCCATAATTTAAGGAAAATATGCAATTTTATACATGAGATAGACTCTCTCATTTCCATGCTAGCCAACGATATAACTTTGAACAATTTTGGTGATGTCTCTCTACATAGCCCTAGCTGTTCTGGAGCTTACTCTATAGACCAGGCTGGCCTCAAAGTCAGAGAGCCACCTGCCTCTGACTCCCAAGTACAAGATTAAAGGTGTGCGCCATTATGTGGTATGGCTGAATAACAACAAAAGGTAGAGATGACTCAGTGGTTAAGAGCACTTGCTACTTTCAGAGACCCAAGTTTGATTTCCCAGCACCCATGTTCAGCAGTTGCATATAACAGTCTATAACTCTAGCTCCAGAGAATCCAATAACCTCTTCTGTATGAAGACAACCCTCGTAGCAAATATTTACACAGATAAACACAAATAAATAAATAAAATTTTAAAGATGCATCCTCTAAAAGGATATTAAGGTTGAGCTTCCCTGTTTACAAAACTCAGTTCTATATCCTTACTATTCAAAGGGTTAGCACAAGCATAAACATATCAAGAGCTTCTCAGAAAAATTCAGTCTCTCAGTCTCCATACAATAACAATCTGCATTTCATTAAGAGCCCCGGATAAATCATATGTGTATTTAAACCTGAGAAGTACTAATCTAAATGTTTACCTGTACATTCAAATGACATTCAACCATTTTTTTCTCAAGTAAATTTTCTGTTAATTATATTACACTCTCTTTACTAAGAAACTTATTGTATTAACTACAGAAATAGACCTCATAGGGTATTCACTAGTACTAAAAGAGATATTCCTGTGGCAAATGTTTCTTTCAAACTTGCAGTTAAGTTACAAAGTTTTTTCTTATACCCATTAAGGTCTCATTAGCAAATTCAAACAGAAAGATATCTCAACAGCTGAGTCAAGATGCACAAATTTGTTTTCAATCCCAGAAATAGAAACAAACATGTACCCGAAAGACTATCCCAAGGCCATTTGAAGGTAAAGTAGTAGAGATATGTATAAGATGATGCATCTTCAACTTAACTGGCTGAGAATCCCTACATAAGGAAACATAAAGAGATGGGTCTTCCAAATTCAAAATCAAAAGGAAACAGAGGACTCTAGGGTAGGTATTATTGTCATATATTTAGAAAAGGCAAATTCAGAAGAAAAGAAAGCCTGGGGTGGGAAAGATGGCTTGGTGGTTGAGAGCACTATCTGCTCTTCCAGAGAATCGTATTCAATTCCCAGCACCCACATAACTCACAGCCATCTGGAATTGCAGTCTTAGGGGATCCAACACTCTCTTCAGGCTTCATGGGCAATGTATGCATGCAGTGTACAAGCATACATGCAGGAAGAATATCCATACATATAAATAAAAGGTTTAGAGTTTTTCTTTCCTCCCAAGACAGGGTTTCTTTGTCTAACAACCCTGGCTCTCTTGGAACTTGCTTTGTAGATCAGGCTGGCCTCAAATTCACAGAGATCCATCCATCTCTGCCTCTGGAGTGTTGGGATTAAAGGTGCATGCCACCAAGCCCAGCTTAAGTTTTTGTTTTAGGGGCTTGTATTATTTTCTTGTTTGAAGGCAGAGTTTCCTATTTTATATAACTTGTATCAGCTAGTACAATGGGGCCCAAGCTGGCTTCAAACTCATGGCAATGCTCCCAAGTACTGGGACTGATAGCAAACGTAAGTCATCACATTAAGCTCTCAATTTATAATTTAAAAAACAAAGCAAAAAGCCCAACAACTACATGCTTCTAAAATTCCTAGGAAGTCACATGATGCAGAAATAATACCAGACCACCAACTTATTAGCACTAGGAAATAAGCCCAGAACAATGTTGTTAAGTTATCCAGTCTACAGCTCAAGCTCTAGATTCTTTTGCCTTTACCTCCCAAGTAGCAGGGCTTAGGTATGAACTGGGCTGCAGGAGTCTTTTATCTTAGAAAGCTCAACTTAGAAAAAAGGGCATAGCTAAAAAGCAATAAAATAATTTAAAACCTTGCACTGTACTTGAGTTTTCATACTAATAAATCTAGAACACACATTTTGGAAGTGGGAGTAAAAGGCCAACAATATCGTATGTGAATGATTCTTAAGAGTCTGACTTCCCTCTATGTCCTATATATGTGGCAAAAAAAAGTCTTTCAGAATCAAGATTTATAAATTAACTTCAAGAAGAATCTTCTCTTTCTAGAGCTGTAATGTCCAATATATAGTTAGTACAAGTGTATAAAATGTAAGTAGACAAAAATGCAATGACCTTTAAATATCAAAAATGAAATGAAGTTCTAGTTCTAGCATCATACCTTATCTATTACATGGTATATTTCAGAAGAACTGGGTTAAATAAAGTATATTAAACTGATTTCATTGATAATTCACTGTTTCCTCTTTCTTCAGCAGTTCTGGAAACTGAACCCAAGAGGCTATAGCTTTGGGCTTTGTTTCCTTTTCAGTGTGGCTACTAGGAAATTTAAAACAGCATACATAGTTCCAATTTATGACCCACAGTTTTCTATGAAGTGCGGTTCTAGACTATAGGTAGGCCATAAATAGTGTCCATCATATCCAAGTGCTGGGAATAGAATCCAACTTTTATTTATTATTTTTTGGTTTTTTGAGACTCAGTTTCTCTGTGTAGCCCTGGCTGCCCTGGAACTCACTCTGTTGACTAGGCCGGCCTTGAACTCAGAGATCCACCTGACTCTGCCTGCCATTAAAGATGTGTGCAACCACAGCAGGTTCAACATTTTTCAACCATGCTTAGCAAACACTTTACCACTAAGCTACCAGGTACCACCATGCCCGGCTGGACATAACGCATTTTTTTTTTAAGGGAGCTAATTAAAATTCTCTTGCAAGAGGGAGAAAATACTCAAAATTTCTGAACAACTTTGGAATTTACCCATAAGAACTTGAAATACTTGATTACATACAAACAATGAAAAAAGAAGATATTCTGCAAGATAGTAATCAATCCTAAAAAAAGGGTCCTGGAACATTTTTATCTTAGCTTCTAGCCCACTAAGTTGTCTACATCAGAGGACAGTAAAAAATTCAGTTCCCATTGCAACAATTGCTTTTCAATGAAAAGATTGTTTCCTGTAGTTCCAATGAACTTCACATATCTCTCTCCAAATTAAGTCAATGACTTCTTTTTTGGCTTGAAGTCTCCCTCCAGCCAACCAATCACAGAATAAGAACATCCCATTCGTTACCATATATCCAAACCTCACCCTCAAAACTATGGCCCTTTTTTAAAGATGATAAACCTAATTAATCCCAGGTAGTCTTCAAATCATTCTGTCCCTCTACCCTTCTATACCCCCACAGATAAAGGTTTCAACATACTAAGATAATTAGAAACACAAATAACGGTGCTAAAGACTAATTAAAACTCCTGTGTATTTTGGTATTTAAGCACAAAACCAAGTGTGTTTCAAAAAAAGAGATATATAAAACTGGGCATTTATGATCAAATTCACAATGCTGTACCCCAATGAATAAGCTAAAGCACACATCTTAAAGATGCACATGAAAATTATATGAACCTTCATTTGTTTTTTTCAGAGAGGGTAGTCCTGGAATTCTATGTAGACTAAGCTGGCCTTGAACTCAGAGATCTGCCTGCCTCCAGGGTGCTGGTATTAAAGGCATGCATCACCACACTCAGCCCAGAGTTCTAATTTCAGTATTCACAAATAAAGTTTTATTAGAACACAGCCTAGTTTGTTTACATTCACTTATGACTACTTGGGTGCTCTAAGGGCAAGTCTGAAGAGCTGCAAAGCCTAAAACATTACCACCTTGCCTTTGGCAAAAACAAAAACAAACAAACAAACAAAAAAACAAAAAACAAAAAGTTTGCTACCTCAATACAAAGGGTAATAGCTACCCAGACTTCTAAAGAGACTTTATGTTTAGAAACTAATTTACTGGGGGAAGAGGAAGTAGTCAAGACTAAAACACTCTCCATCATTTAAACAAGATCAGCATCACTTTGACCTAATATATACCAGGCTTTTGTACAAGCTCTTTGTATGGATCTTTGTATGGAGTTTGTATGGAAGTTGTTGCTTTATTAAAAAAAAAAAAAAAAGACCCAGGCTGTTTAAGGTCCTTTTGCCTCAGCAGGGAAGAATCATTCAACATCCTTTTCAACCCTGTGGTTCTAAGATAGGTGTTCACTCACAAACTAAATGTTATTTATAGACTCCATACCCATCGCCTTCCTCCTAAAAAGTGGGACTCCATTATTCAATTAGACAGTTTTAACAGATAATCTATTAGACTGTAACTTCCTTATGTAGAAAATTAAACTTATGGCACATATAACATCAATAGCATTCCAGATAGTCAATTATATAAAACAACTCCATTGGTAAATTAAGTATCTAACAGTTGTTGTCTCAGGGATTCAGTTTTAGGTTGGGGAGAGGTTACTATGTAAAAATTATGTACCATTTCACTTTATACTGTTAATTTATATAAAAATAATAAATGATAGTAACTGACTACTCTTTTGATAATGAAGACACATATATCATTTATCTTGACAAAGTGAATGACTATCAATCAAAAAAACTCATTTTTTAAAACAGCCTTTAATGCCTCTTACGAAAATTTTCAAAATTATTAGACTTTGGAATTTCCATAATATCAAAAAATATAGTACATTAAAAACATATAAAAGCAAATTTATGGCTCACTTGAAACAAGAGTATATATATATATATAAGTTGTTTTTCATGTCATCTTAAGGGACATGAGAGGACTGAACTGCTATTGCCATAGCATTAAATATCAGGACAATGACAATTTCAATTCCCAGTAAACATAAATTATTTTAAAGCCTGTGTAGTTCACAAATTTACAATCTACAAATTTCTTCTTAGGGCATAGACCAATTAGTTTTTCATCCCATTTTCAAGACCAATGTACTAACTTTATAGATATATTTAAAAATTATGCTAAAATCAGCTTTTATAACCTATGCTGTAAACATGGAATAAACATTAATAATTTAAAAATAGCAATGAGAAAAGCTAAATTAAAGGCTTCACACACTAAGGCTACATCAGAAAAATTACAGAATGTCATGTTATACTAATTATTTCAATAATTATGTTTAAGGAGAGACATATTTTAAAATTTTCTTACATGTCTATCCCATCTTTCTACTCTGCTACTCACTAATATTTTCCCTGTCCAAGGGAACTCTGTCTTCCATAAAGATTAACTTACCTTTTCATTGCTAACATACTTTGGTTTCCAGAGTTATATTTCAAAGGAGTTTTGAGTCTAGCTCCAGCAGGAAAACCAATCAAGTAATTTAACTGAATCATAACCATGGTAGGGAGCTTTAATGGTGTTTACATTAATATACACCATATGAAATACTATCAACATAGCCTCTTCTGAAGTGATTTATGACAAAGATTTCAAAATAAAGTTTTAATTTGTTCTTCTTTTCTACAACATAATATCTGAATACCTCCTCATTAAATGCCAGAACAAAATAAGGAAAAAACTAAGAGAAAGAAAATGAGGGTATCTATCTAAATACTTACCTTGATCCTGTCATAGGACCTCTTCCATCCTTGTCATATCCCCCACGCCCTCTACCTCCTCCCTGTGACCCGCCATATCCTCTATTATCTTCTCCATACCTACTCACATCACGACGGTCATCTATAAAAAGGAAAATATAACACATAATAATACTGTCACTTCAATATTTTATGCTGTTGCAACAAACAACTCCCTACATTAGGCTGACATTGAATTCTTAAGCTTAAAACAATTCTCCTGTCTAACTCTCATATAGGAATACAGATATATACCACCATACCAAGCATCTATTGTCGTTTCTGATTAAATGTTTCAAAGAATAATTTTAACTGTCACCTTAAGACACATAGTATGTCCCTCAGAGAAGGACACAAATACAACAAAATGCAAGCCATCACACAACATTCTAGAAATGTGCTTGAGAATTATATCTACGTCAGATTAAATGTGTCAAGCATAGGTCAGGCATAACCACAGCCACCACACATTCTCAAACTGAGAAGAGAGTTATTCAGAAAATGACATTCTGCTTTTACTCATTCACTCTATTATCAATATGGCTAGTGCTTTAAGTTCAGTGATGAAGTCTTTGTTAACGTAACATATACAAAGGCCCTGGGTGGGATTCAATTCCTAGCACCACCAAAATAATTTTTCCAGCAAAAATGTTTAGTAACCATTTAATAGGAGCCAGGTCCTATCTAGACAATAAATGCATTATGGGTGGGAAGGCAGACTTTTGTCCTTAAGCCACTGAGTTTCATGGTGTGGTCTGACTCCTATATCAGTAATATATATAAAGTGCTATGGAACAAGAAAAATTAATGACTGTACCTTCTTACATGATTAGAGAAGGCTAGGATAGGACAACTTTCCCAAATCAAGTAAACCACCACCAAAAGAACTGACAACAGGAGCTGGAGAGATGGCTCTGTGAAGAGCATTAGCAGCTTTTTCAGTTCAATTCCTAGCAACCATATGATGGCTCATCACCATCTATAATGAGATTCAATGCCCTCTTCTGGCATGCAGGTGTACATGCAGATAGAGCACCATATACATAGAATAAACCTTAAAAGATTATGAAAAGGAAAGAGAGAGATAAAGGAAAGAAGGAAGAAAGGAAAGAAGGAAGGACAGAAGGACAACAAACAAGCTGGGTGGCGGCGGCACGGGGTCTTTAATCTCAGCACTGGGAAGGCAAAGGCGGGCAGATCTCTGAATTTGAGGCCAGCCTAGTCTACTGAGCGAGTTCCAGGACAGTCAGGGTAGTTACACAGAGAAACACTTCTCAAAAAAAAAAAAAAAAAAGAGACCAAGAAAAAAAAGAACTGGCAATAGCAATGCCAAATCAATGCTCAGGGTTTAAGACAACAAAGGAAAGGTAAACAAAAAGTCCCATGACATGACAATCTCGAGAAAGTTAAAAAAAGGAAAGTAGTAGTTTGATGGCTATGAGAAATCTATGTCCAATCATCTCCAAGTTTTATCAACAAGTAAAATCTAACAAATAATCTAAAGAAAAAGTTTAGAGGCCATTATAATCTTACCTTGTGCGTGGTGGCTGTAGTTTTCCCTTTGTGAATGGTAAGACTGCTGGTTTTGATTATAGGAATCATGTTGCTGATAATTTGACTGCTCATCGTATGAGCCTTGATGCTGATCATAGCCTGACTGCTGGTCATAAGAATCTTGCTGACCATAGTCAGACTGGCCATATGAAGGTGCTCTTCCACCTTGGCTAAACAGAAATCAAGAACATAAGATCTTACAGAACTGTGTTGACTGTAGCAAGTTAAAGAACACGAATATAAAAGGCCTAATCAGCTAGACCTCAGCAGTGTCTAGTACTATGCTCTTATAGTTAATTATTTGGTTCTTCAATCTATGAAAACTCATCAACAGAACACACTCCAAAAACAATTTCACAAACACTAAAAAACAATGCTGAAGGGGAGAAAAGGGGTTGTTGCACTACACTGGGGACCAACAACAAAAACTAGCACCTTTAAATACCATTAACAAAATATCTAGTTTTCACTTTCTTGAGCTTAAAGAAAAAAGTAAAATATGTATGATGCTTTAGCAAACAAGGCTCTATGTCACTACTTTTCAACATCATGTCTTTTGTATTTGTAGCTAGGCATGATGCCTATTCTTTTGGTACTGAGGAAGACAGGTGCATCATGACCTCAAAGCCAACCTAGGTTACGTAGATATTGGTCTCAAAAGGGGGGGAGGAATTGTCTCAAATCAACAGTCACATCTAACTCTGAAAAATACCACAACAATCTATTCCAACTCCCAACTCAAAGCACCACAAAACTAGTTTGAACACTAATTATTTACTTTAAAATAGTCAAAAGTATTTCCCTTTGCTTTACATTTATTTCATTTTTTAAACATACAGCCTTTACAAAAGCATTTCCCTTATCATTAAACTTAGCAATAAGGCTTAAAGATTTTTCCTAATGCAGCATGGCTTCCAGATATTATTCCCTACATATGCACTTCTACTTACTTTTGTAACTCTAATACCAATAATCTGACCCCCGAGTTCTTTCCCCAGTGCCATTTACACTTCACTTAAGTACTTCTATCACTGTAGCCAAAGACAGATGACTAGAGACCTCAGGCTCTGGTTCTTTTAACCTTCTTTACCTCTACAAAATAGAAGTAACCACTAGTGCTGTTTCACAGTGGTGTCTGAGGACCAAGTACATTAGGGAATATCGATTAGTTCACCAAATAAATCACAATAAAAACTCCACTATGAAATACTAGTAGTAGAGGCCTATATAGTTTTAGGCCAACTATGGCTACATAGTGAAACACTATTCCAAACAAAAAAGGGAAGGAAGAGCTAGAGAGATGGCTCAGTGTTTGAGAACACTTGTTTTTGCAGAGGACCCAAAGTCAATTCCCAACACCCACATGGTAGCTCAAAATCAGCTGCAACTCCAGTTTTAAAAGATGCAATGCTGCCCCCTTCTGGCCTCTACCTTCTGTCTCCAGCTTCAGAGACATCAGCACACATGGTACACAGAATGCACATAATACTCACAAATCAAAATAGATGTATCTAAAAAATATTTTTAAAGGTAATGCATCCAAGTGGCACAAAAACAAAATAAAGGATTTGGGCACATAGCTCAGTGGTAGAGTACTCACTTATGTAGCATATACAAAGCTCTGGGTTCTATTTCCAGCACTACGAAATAATTAAATTGAACTACAAAGGCAGGTATACCCAATACAATTTCAATAGTTTACTGTTTCCTTACCCTCCTGATGATTCCGTGTTTTGTTGTCCCTGGTTATTATATTGTTGGCCATATGAGCTCTGCTTTTGATTATCGTAACTACCATAGGACTGTGAATAACCTAAAAATTAGATAAGAATACTATTTAGTGAAGGCTCTGATTCCTGACTCTCTAAAATAGCAATTTAATAAACCAGTCCAACCTGATTGATTTTGTCCATAACCGGAGTAACCACCATAGTTTTGTCCATACGAAGAATCAGTCGTTTGCCCATAGCCAGAATAACTCTGAAATTCAGGTAAACACTCAAACTTTATTATTTACTAAATGAAATAACTATACTTAGTAAATAAAATAACCATTTATAAGGAAAACAACTGATTTTTAGACCTACTTGTGATGTTTGTCCATAGCCTTGACTGCCTTGATTTCCATAGGAAGAATAACTGTAAAAGAAAATTGTAATACTTGAAAGATATATGTTTAAAGAAATTAAAAAGCTTAAATGAAAAACTCTGTCTTCAACTGAACCTAGTATTTGTCCTGTTTACATCTGAATTGTTTTCTGGCTACTAAAGTTTCGGTTATTCTTAGTGAGTGATTCAAAATAAAAAACTATTTACATCTAAACAACAATTCTGCCTATCTCTTAGAATCTAAATTGATGACCAACAACTAAAGATATAAAAAGTCACTCCCAGACCTCTTGAATGTCAGTACCAAAGGTTGCTGTGACAATTTCTCAAATATTTCACTAGAACTACAAAACTAAGAAAATTATGCTTTGGAATAAATAACAACAAAAAAAGGCATTGAACAGTATCATTCCATAAACAGGTTTTTATTTAATATCAGATACACAGATTTCTAATACTTAAAGCATAGACAGTTGTTTGCAGCTAAAAATGTGTATACAAATAACCGTTCTGATGACCACATGGTAGCCCATGACTTCAATCCCATCACTCAAAAGACAGAAGCTGGCAGACCTTTGTTGAGTCTGAGCCTAGCCTGATCTACATAGCAATTCCAAGCTTGTCAAAGCTACACAGTAAGAGCCTGTCTCAAAACAAGAACAATCAGCCATTCCTAAGAAAGTGCTATTTCCAAAAAATGCATGGTAAGATCCATAATAATTATCTGAAAAAGAAAAAAGGTAACTTTTTTGTTTGTCTTTTGAGACAGGGTTTCTCTGGCTATCTTCCCTCTGTAGACAAAGGTAGTCTATAACTCAGAGATTCCCCCAGTGCTGGGATTAAATGCATATGCTACCATGCCTGGGTTGAAAATGTAACATTTTAAGCTTTATGGAAACATGAATTTCTTTATACTATTTGTTTGAAGTGAATGTCTTGAACTTCCCAGAAAAGGCACAATATGGAACAAAAGTTCAGCCTAAATGCTTCAGTAATTAGATCCAAACTCCCAACAAAGAAAGAAAATATACTGTATCAGAACTGCCATGTATTTTGATAAATATGCATTGTGTTCTTGAATAAAATGTACCTTCCTAAGACTTAACCTTTTAAAATTATATCATCTAAGTATTAGCAAGTCAAAAAACAACTCTCTGAAATAAAACCTTTTATTTTAGAGCAATCTAATACTAAAATTCCTCAACTTTTTTTTTTCAGAATCCCAAACTTTTAAAAATACAAGCAATAAAGAGACACTTGCCAGGTACCTACTAAGAGGCTAATACTATCTTATAAGAACAAAATCACATCAGTTTTCTTTCTGATATGCTTCCAGCAATAGTTGTAGTGTTAGGTTGAAAGCTGTTACTTCTGGTAAGCAAGAACAGCGACCATCATAGAAACATAAAAACAAACTTTCACTGTAAGCATATTAGAATTTTTCTGAACTGCTAAACTTTGGTTTTTTTGTTGTTGTTGTTGTTTTTTGTTTGTTTGTTTTTTTCGATACAGGGTTTCTCTGTGGCTTTGGAGGCTGTCCTGGAACTCGCTTGGTAGTCCAGGCTGGTCTCGAACTTACAGAGATCCGCCTGCCTCTGCCTCCCGAGTGCTGGGATTAAAGGCGTGCGCCACCAACACCCGGCTAAACTTTGTATTAATAGTAAATTAATAGTAAGACAATCTGCTCTAGCTCTAGATCTTCCTTAATGTGCAGTGCTGTTTTCTGACTCAAGTTCCAGTGGAACTGGAGGCTGCCAATTGAACTTGAGGACGACAGGATTCAGTTGTCCTTGTTGTTCAAATAAATGGCTTAATTTTAAAAAAAGGAAGGAAGGAAGGAAGGAAGGAAGGAAGGAAGGAAGGAAGGAGAGGAAGAAAGAGAGAAAGAAAAGAAAATCTGCTCTAGGGGCTGGAGAAATGGTTCAGTGGTTAAAAACACTCGCTACTCTTCCAGAGGACCTAAATTTGATTCCCGGCATTCACATATTAGGTCACCACCATCTCTAACACCAGTTCTACAGGGATCCAATGCCTTCTTCAGAACTCCATACAAATAAACTTTTTTTTAAAAATCACATTGGCATATTATATATCATCAAAGAGTAAAATGCTTTTTCTACAACTAGTTTGATGTGAGTTTTAAGACATTCTCCAGGCAGAGCGATGGCTCAGAGGTTAAGAGCACTGCCAGCTCTTCCAGTTGACCTGGGTTCAACTCCCAGCACCCACATCAGGTAGATCACAAAAGTCTGTAGCCACAGCTCCAGGAGATCTGATACCTCTGACCTCCAGAGGCACCAGTACTCAATATGCACAGTCACATGCAAACATACACATAATTGAAAAATAGCAATAATTTTTTAAAATTCTCTTAATTTCTAAAGAAAAAAATCTTTATAATACCTAGGATTTGTCTTGATCTTCAAGGCATATTAATCAAAAGACTATTTAAAAAGGCAAGACTACTTTATAAAGGCAAGCTCTTTCCTTGTTAGCAAGTTTTAATTATTTAGTTACAACTCCCCCCCCAATTTTTTAAGAGATAGGGTCTTTCTATGTAGCCCAAGCTGGCCTCGAATTTCTGAGTCCTATCTCAAGCTCCTGAATGCTGGGATTACAAGCCTGAACTACCACATCTAGCCTTATTATCTTAAGACATCCAGATAGCAAATTTTAGAGAGAAAATTGTATTATTTTTCTCAATTTTGGCCTCATGATATTATGAAAACATATGTATACTTTACCTTTGCTGCTCACCCCCAGACTGACTGTAACTTCCAGAATCTAAAACACATAAAAAGAATTTTAAATCATATTTAAAATTATGCTTTACCCTAAGACTAACTTTAGTTTACACAAATGAAAATACTGCTAGAAACTGTCAAAAGTTACGTAAGAAAAACTAGAAGCCAGGCATGGTGGCACACACCTTTAATTCCAGCACTCAAAAGGCAAAGGCAGGTGGATTTCTGAGTTCAAGGCCAGCTTAGATTACATAGTGAGTTCCAGGCCAGCCAGAGCTGCAGTGAGGCCCTGTCTCAAAAAACAAAACAAAAAAAAAAAAACAAAAACACACACAAAAAAAGGAAAAAAAAACCCACATACCCAAAAGAAAACCATGATGAGGTTTACAAAGTGTATTTTTTAAACAATAACTACTTTTTTTTTTTAAAGTAACAACATTGTTAAACCACTGTTCAAAATTGCTGGTGGTCACAAGAAAGAGAACAAATATGAAATCAGTGAAAATTCATCATTTAAAAATAAAACAAAAAACTCAACCAGGCGTGGTTGCTCATGCCTGTCATCCCAGCACTTGGCTCAAGACCAGCCTATGCTAGGTACAGACTTCCAGACCAGGCTGGATGATGGACTAGTGACACCTTGCTTCAAAGGAAAAAAGCCAACAACCCACCCCTCAAAAGTTTAAGCTACATATATGTAGCATTACATTAATAAAAGCAAACAAAAAATGCTTAAACCAATCAGGGCCAAAAAAAGGAAGAAACATGCACTCTGATATGATTAATCTACAGAATCACACTCACTATCATTTTCACATATAAACCATTCTTGGACTACTGTGGCTGACAGCACCAACAAGACTTGCTTAAGACCTCCTAAGACTTGCTTAAGAAAAAAAAAACTGTTTATTTTACCAAACTTCCAAGCAATCAGCCAGCAATGATACCTGCTTCTAGCCTGCATTTTAATAACAAAAACTACCTTAGAAAAAAAGCCTACGCAAATGTGTTATGTAAAGAGGGCAGTAGAGGGTAGACTTGAAACTTTTCTCTATAGTTCAAAGTGTAAGTCATACCAAAAATTGTTGGAGACACTACCCTTTAGGTTTATATCCAATGTCAAATGAAGTGTCTTAATTTGTGATGAATAAGATAGAAGTTATATAAAATATTACAACTACGAAACAGGAGTGTCAAATTGACACTTACCTTACCAACCTTACCTAATCATAAAATCTTTAAAATGAGCAATTCTGTAAAATCAATAGCTTATTTTTTCAGTCAATTTATATCATTATCATATAAAGCTACATCACCACTCTGCTGCAAATATCTCCAACATGACATTTCTTTTAAAATCCTTAAGACTATTAAATGGATTCTAATAAATTATTTCTATGAAACTAAGGACACAGGTTACATGAAATGAAGAGGGATAGCTTACATGTTACAGCTATTTCCATAACTGATAAGAGTTGCAGCTAGCAACCAAAGGAAAATAGGGAAAGAACAGATTTTACCAGAACCACAAATAGATATACCTATCAAACAGCAAAGGAAAGCCACCCAAATCACAGTTAAAAATATTGGGGGTGGATAGGTATTTAAACACTTGAAAACACAGGTATTCCTCTATCAACAGTCTATAATACCTCAGCATTTCCTTTTGGTCCAGACAAAACCATTTAAGTATATAGCATTTAAATTTTCTGACCTCTCAAAATCTAGTATTTATGCCTGTCCTACTTTAGCCTAAAAAATTACAGTCCTCTGAAACTATAAACCTTCAGCTGAATTAAAATTTCAAGGTAGACAAAAAAGCACAGCCTCCAGAAAATATGTATTTCAGTAGTAAAAATACAGGTATTATTTTCAGTTTTTTTTAAAAGTCAGTTTATAAATGCCACTTAGGGCAACTCAAATAAGTCCTTGTCAAGATAACCTGACACTTGAGTCTTGTGTCTGAACCTGCTCACTATTTAGAAATGTTTCTAAATTACTGAAGTGTACCAGTGTACTGGCTATTTTGTCAACTTGACACAAGCTAGAATCATCTGAAAGGAGGCAACTTCAATTGAGAAAATACCTCCCTAAGAAAAGCTATAAGGAATTTTCTTATTGATGATTGATGGGGGAAGGCCCAGCACTTTGTGGGTGGTGGTCCTGAATTCTATAAGAAAGCAGGCTCAGCAAGCCATAAGTAGCAAACCAGTAGGCAGCACTCCTCCATGGCTACTGCATCAGCTCCTGCTTCCAGGTGCTACCTGCCCTGTTTGAGTTCCTGTTCTGACTTCTTCAATGAACACATTTAGAGTAAGCTAAATAAACCCTCCCCAAGTTGCTTTGGCGATCATCACAACCAGAGTAACAACAAATGGTACCAGGACAGTGGGGTATTGCTGTGACAGACCTGACCATGTGTTTTGGGGAGGATTGTAGAAGGACTTTGTAACTTTGAACTAGAAAAGCCATTGAGTGTTAAGAGCTCAGTGAGCTGTTCTTCTGTAACTTGGAAGACAATTATATTGAGGGCAATTCAGATGATGGAGGCCTGGCTTGGAAAGTTTGGAAGGGAAGCAAAGGTTCTGCTGAGCTTTTGTGTGAACAATCTGTGGTTTGAGTCAGCTAGGGCTAAAGAGTCAGCTGTGATTAACAAGAGACCAGAACCACTAAAGTAAAACCTTTCCTTTAATGGGATAATTGATGCTGGTCAGCTAAGAAATTTGTTGTGATTAAATGACCAACTAGAAAGTGGTTCTCCAGTTAACAAACATAAGCTGTGCTCTAGAGGTGGGCTGGGTCGTATCTTGTGCTGGCAGCTGAATTTGGTACTGTTTAGAGTCTCCCAGTACTAGTTTTGAAGGCATAAAGAGGTCAGAGAGTTACTGTGAGAGGCAAGGAGAGGTCATTGGTGTAAGATGCTCTAAAGCTGGAGATACCAGGTAATTGTGGAGTCCTAGATGTGGGTGCTGGTAACCAACTCTGTACCAAGAGCATTGGCCACAGTTCCATGACCCTTCTTAAACTGTTTATGGGTTATTATTTTATAATCTGTAATTCTACAGATAATTACTTGAAATTTTTAGCCATCTGTTTGAAACTAATGATTAATTAAACATTTCAACTCGTTGGGCTTATCCACCATTAATTCCAACACTCTTGAGGCAGGTAGATCTCTGTGAGTCTTGGCCATCTAGAGCTGGCAAGACCATGTCTCAAAAAAAAAAAAGACAAAAAAAATTCAACTTTCCTAGATATTTTTTAAGGCAAGAATGCCCTTTGTTGCTCATGCTGGGTATAAAACTAGAGATCTTCCCAACTGAGCTTCCTAAGTGCATATACCTCCATACCCACCGACTTTCATTTTCATCTCTATCCTTCTAAATGTTTTGAAAGACAGACTATAACTACATCTATAATTCTGCTAGGTTTGCTATTTCACTTTTCCCACTTTTGAAAATTTTATTTGGGGGAGGGAAGGAGAGAGATGACATGGCTCAGTAGGTAAAGATGCCTGACATAAGCTTGACAACCCAATATCTTGTACCTACATGGTGAAAAGGCAAGAAACGCTTTTGTTCTGACTTTCATAGGTATACCAGAACACACACCCACACATTAATGTAATTTTTAAATTATTTCGTTCCTTTTTCAAATCTATGTGGTCTTTCACATAATGTTGGTCTTAAAGTTGACTCATGTTTTTAACCCTCAACATAACATTTGCTCTAATCCAGTTTGTCATTTGACTCATTCAGTTTTTACCATGAACTCACCCTTTGAAAGGTCTGGATTTCCACAGATTCTTTGTGATCTATGTTGTGAAAATTACTCCAGTTTTTTTTTTAAACCAGGAACCCAAAGATATTAATAAGCCCAGTTTTTTATTTTTATGTTAAATCATTTTAAGGTTTCCTAAAGGCTAAATGAGTACCTAAAAGAAGAGGCTCCAGGTTACAAATTCTAAGATTCTACTGTGTCTGAACTTCCTTGTCAGCTTACACTAGGATTTTTTCCCTCTTTGTTCATTTCTTCACTGAAGACACAGTCCTTCAAATTTATAATCTGTAAATCCAAGATTTATAAGGGTTTCAGTTTCCATTATCTGGCTACCAGTTCGAGGTTTTATCACCCATCCTTAGATAATAAAACCACTCTACACAAGACCTATACTTTCTGCAGGGTAATTGCCAAAATAGATCAATGCATATCATACTGGCTTCTACTTTGTTTTTCTATGGGTCTTAGCTTTCCCAAATTTTTGCCTATTTTTTGAGGTGTATGTAGAAGATACCTTGATTTGTCCTAATTACCAAAATGAGAAATAGCCTGACTTATTTTATATGTAACTAATACTTTACTCATGATTTTAATTCAAAAGCTCTGGTAACTCGATTCTGCAAATAACTCTTTTTTGTTTGTTTTTTTGTTTTTCGAGACAGGGTTTCTCTGTATTGGAGCCTGTCCTGGAACTCGCTCAGTAGACCAGGCTGGCCTCGAACTCACAGAGATCCACCTGCCTCTACCTCCCGAGTGCCGGGATTAAAGGCGTGCGCCACCCAGCCTGCAAATAACTCTTAAATGTCAGACTGACAATAATTTTGACTTATTGACAAAAACCTATGTATATAACTCTTTCCCCTGATGCAGGGAATCAAATCCTTAAGTTTTGTGCATGTTAAGCATTAATTCCAGCCCAAATGCTTATATTTTAATAGGTTTGTATGTCTGACACGGCAAGTATCTAGATTAGTTGAGTCAATTAAATGTCTAAGTGTGCTCTGAAATGTTTAAAGACTGTAACTTATTAATGGCACTAGTTTCTTGGGGGGAATTTATTCTGTTAACTTTAATTTAAACATGCATTAAAAAACAAGTCAAGGGGCTGGAGAGATGGCTCAGCGGTTAAGAGCACTGACTGTTCTTCCAGAGATCCTGAGTTAAATTCCCAGCAACCACATGGTGGCTCACAACCACCTTGAATAAGATCTGGTACCCTCTGCTGGCCTGCAGGCAGAAGGCTGTATACACAATAAATAAATAAAATATTTTTTAAAAAAAGTCAAAAGCATTACTTTTATACAAAAGTCAACGTATTTTATACACACATCACAAAACATGTTAAGTTGTATATAATACTAAAAAGAATCTGAAAGGGGCTGGAGAGATGGCTCATCGGTTAAGAGCACTGGCTGTTCTTCCAGAGATCCTGAGTTCAATTCCCAGCAACCACATGGTGGCTCACAACCACCTTGAATAAGATCTGGTGCCCTCCACTGGCATGCAGGCAGAAGACTGTATACACAATAAATAAATAAAATATTTAAAAAAAAGAATCTGAAAGATTTTACTTATGCCTCTAAATTTAAATTTTCCATTGAAACCTCAAAAACGAGCAGTTTGGGCAAGGCGCAACAAGCCTGTAATTCCACTCAAGAGGTTGCTTAGGATGATAAATTCAAGGTCAGTCTGGAGATACGCTGGAAACCCCTTTCCAAACAACTCCATGAGTTTTTACTGAGCACTGCTTGCACTAAATTTTGGTAATGTCTACATGAGGGTAGAATTTTAATTTTTTTAAAGTCATGTTTAACCTACATATACCCTTCCTAAGGAAGCATTTGTACATATTCTCCTATACCTTCACCAGACACCATGACGAATTATGTACCTGGTAGAAGACATATCAATGCCTACTCTGGAAAAATCCCTTGCTTGAAAAAGAATGAAACAGAATTTGAAGAACTAACTGCAGTGCAGCTTTAGCCTTTTCCAGCAGACAGGTACGCCACGCCCCCTCCTCTAAGCTTTCCAGATCCTTAGTAGCAATGCTACTCTAAAGACAATCTTCCCTTGCCCAGTCTTTCTTACCCAACCACACCCCCCCTCTCTTGGTGGACTGGGGGTACCTTTTTTTTGTTTTGTTTTGTTTTTGTTTTACGAGACAGGGTTTCTCTGTATTGTTTTGGAGGCTGTCGGTCCAGCCTGGCCTCGAACTCACAGAGATCTGCCTGCTTCTGCCTCCCGAGTGCTGGGATTAAATGCATGCACCACCAACGCCCGGCCTCTGGGGGTACCTTTTTAAAAGGTCTGCCAATTAATACAGGCGTAAAACTGACGGTTGTAGTGGTTCACGCCTTTAATACCAGTGAGTTAGAAGCCAGCGTGGTTTACACAGCGAGTTCCAGTCCAGCCAAGGATACGTAATGGGACACTGTCTCCATTAAGTAAGTAAATGTAAAACTACCAAAAGGCACATTTTATTCCAGCCATATGGCTTCAGGCAAGGCTTCTAAGATCGATCAAGTGCTTATCTGGGTCTGTCTTTGCCACCTGTAAATGTAGTCAAACAATAAAGGACCTGTGCGATCAACTGTAACTGTGAGAATCAAGAGGACTTTTTCTGGTTTACCAGGATCCAAACTGGCTGTCCAGGAGGGGTTAAACCCTCTCTCCCACTCATCAGTAGCTCCTATATATATCACTTTCAGGAAGACGCTGTCTTCCCTTTGGTCTCTCTAAGGAAAATGCCACGAAAGCCTAAAAGTGCTCATCAGTTACTGTCAGGGCTCACTTAAGTCCAGGAGATTAACAAGTACAAAGGTGAAGCCGAATACACAGACACCCCCAACCCCAATCAATCCCGGTGGTTACAGCCGAGGGAATGACTGGAAGTGCGACTTCGTGGAAGGCAATGTGCTTTGAAAAGGACTCCCAGGGCTTAAGACCCCCACCTGATGAATGGGTGAGTCAGGAAGGCCCAGCTCCACTTCTCGGATGGGGAAACTGAGGAACGAGGCGGCGAGACGACCGGCCAGAGGCCTCGCTGAGAGATCTGAGGCGGAGCGGAGGACCAAAAGCCCCAGTCCTCAGGCTGATGCTCAGATCTCGACTCCCCCCGCCCCCCTACGATGGTGCAGACGGGCCTCCGCCCCCCAACTCACACACCCCCTTCCCGGGGAGCTGCACATCTCCTCGGGTTCCAAGGGCAGGGTCAAAAGACAGAGCTCCAGGAAGCTCCCGCGGTGATTTGTAGCCAGAGAGCGTTGGGAGCGTGCGTGCCTCCGGTCCAACATGGCGGCGACGCGGCCGCCCCCCCACCCGAGCCTCCCTCAGGCCGGAGGCTTTCCCTCGCCGCCCTCCGGTGGGCGGGAAGACCTCCCGAACCCGCCGGGCCCCCTTCTCGCCGCTGCCGCTGCTCGCTGAAGGAGTCACCTACCCGACATGACTAAGAGCCGCGGCGCGGAGCCCCCACGGCCCGCGGAGAACAAGGAAAACGAAAAGCCAGGCGGCGCGGCGGCCGGAGCTGTTCTGAGGGCGGCGCGGCGGGCTGAGGCCGACTGCGGGACCTCGGCAGCCAATCAGCGCACGGCGGACGATACCACCGCGCCAAAGCCGGAGGGGTGGTTCTACGTCCCTCCGGTCCTCCGACCGCGGAGTCCCTCCGGGTACTCCCCTCCGCGACGGTACCATTATTGAGAGGGAATTGAGAAAGGAAAGTACCAATGCCCTCGAGGGACTAGGGGAGAAAGCCCGGCCGGCTCGCTCCGCCCCATTTACAACCCCGGTTCTAATTGTATTGGGTCAGGTAGAATTTGAAGCTATAAAAGCGAAAGAGAAGGCTCCCCGTTTAAAAGTAGGAACTATTGGCCTGGAAAACTGGTTTCTACCTCTAAAATCGAGAATGGTGTGGCCGGTTTCGCTCCGGCTCTTGCTGCTGAGCTTGAACCACTTGGGGGCGTTCCGAGCCTTGAGGAGCGCGCGGCACGAAAGTCGTGACGAGCTCGGTACCCGATCATCTCCAGGCTTGCTGTAACTGCCTTGTCCAGTAAAAATCAAGGTGAGACGAGGACAAAAATGTGAGTTCAGTCTAAATCACGCGCAAACCTGACTGCGGGAATCGAGCTTTCTCAGCCCTAATAATAACCAGCTAATTGTCGGCATCTTACATCATTCGCAGAACAGACTGATGAAATATTTCCCCCTGGTTGCGGATAAAGCCGAACAGGCTGAAGTCCTGTGCTAATAAAGGGCAAAGGTGGAATCTGGAAGTGTAGTACCCCACCCCCACTGCTGAGGGCTTTAACCGTAAAGCTGTACAGCAAACTCACTTGGAGAAAGGACTTGGAAAATTAAATAGAATCAGTGAATACATTTCCCGGAGTGAGTGACACCTGAACCAAAGCCTGCGTGATGAGTTGAAGAAGTGGGCCAAAGATCTGTCCAAACTACTTGTGGAACAAGTAACTTGGTATGTTTGGAGCATAACCTCCAGGGGAGAATACTAGAACATGCCGGAAAGATAGGAGGCTAAATAGCTGAGGTCTTATAGTTTGAACTTTATCCTGAAGGCAGCGGATCCACCCACTGGAGAACTTCAGAAGGGTGAGATCAGATCTGTATTTTCCAGCTGCAGAATGAAGAACAGGTTGGAGAGGAGAGATGCCTAATGTTTGTTGTGGGGGGAGAAAGGGGAGCTGAGACTATTGCTCAGTGATTAAAGCCTAGCCTAGCATGCTTGAGTTGCTGGGTTCAAGACCCAGCACTGGTTAAAAAAAAATTTAGCCAATCAAGGTCTATTAATCCCAGCAGTCATGGGGCAAAATTAGGCAGACCTCTGAATTCCAGGCCAACCTGGTATACATAGTTCCAGGACACAGGGCTACAAAAAGAGACCTTGTCTCAAAACAAGTATTTTAAGCAGACAGATCATGTGATTGACCAGTGCAATGATGACAGTGAGCGCTCATAGTGCACTGGACTTAAAGTAGCTGTGGAGGTAAGTGCAGAAATCATAGGCACACTTACTTAGGAGGATATGAAAGCCTGGTGATCAGTCTGTGTGTGAGGTTAGTTCTAGGTTTCCTGTGTACACAGATGGCCAGATGGAGGTGTCACTCACGGTGATAGACACCAAGAGGAACACTTTGGGATGGAGTGATGAGATAAGGTTCAGAATTGATACTTCAGGTCAGAAAAGGGCATGAGGTCATTTCTTCTCATTATGCCCTCAACTGTATTGACAGAAGATGATAGAATTCTCCAAACAACCAAGGCTAAAGAAATAAAAAGTCTTTCACCACTGCAAGCCATATGACTTTAGCACGTGTATTGAGGAAAATACCCCAGAGAGAGCTTGTGCAATAGCAGTGGAGAATCAAGTTGCAGAAGGAAGAAAAAGGTCTCCTGGCTTAGTTTTTTGTTTTGTTTTTAATTTTAAAGAAAAAAAACAATGTTGCTCATCTTTGACTGCTTACATTTATATCATTATTTATTGCCTTATTTACCTCAGTTTCCTTTTCCTAAGACCTGTTCTGTGTGTAGCACCTGGGAAGTCCTAAAAATAGAGAAACAAACCCAGCTGCTTCCCTCCAGAAACTGCAGCCACATAATAGGCATGATGCGGACCCGTGGTTCCTACCAGTTACTGGATTTGAATGTTCTAAGCTTGGAAGATGTTCTAAAAATAGGGCGCTTCATCCATAGGAAGGTAGGATTATCAAGGAGATATCCTGTGTGAGGTGCCTCCTAAACTGAGCTTTGAAGAAAGAAGAGGCATTAGCCAGTGGTATTCAAGCAAAAAGGGCCGCATTGGTGATTGTGAGAGAGCACTTCAAGGCACAGTAAGTAGCCCTGATTGACTTGTCAATGGAGGTGCAGGGATGGGGGATGGTAAGAAATATCATGACAGAAGTAGACATGTGGACTTGGAGATGCATCCCAGTACACAGAAAGCTCAGACAAAGAGGATCCTACGTGTGAGGCCAACCTGGATGACAAAGATGCTGTCTGGAAAAAAAAAAAAAAAAGCAGAAGCTACTCTGAAAGGCCTTGTATGCTTTGTGGATGACTTTGGACATCACAATTTTAAACACGGTGCTTCAGGGCAGTGAAATGGCTCATCAGGAAGACACTTGCTGCCAAACCTGACAATGTAAGTTCCATCCTTGGAACCTGCATGGTAGAAGAAGAGAATTGACTGGCATGTTGTCCTCTGACCTCTGCATGCATTAATTAGTTAATTAAAGAAGAAAAGTAGGAGCTTCTGAGGAAGCTAATTTAGGAGTGACAAATAAGTCTTCTATATCCATTATCTCTAATTATCTGGACAGGCTTGTGAAATAGGGATCTATATTTTGTGGATGATAACCCTGAAACTCAGAGAGGAGAACACTTTAATCAAGTTCACATGGCCAATTAGGGATAGAAGCAGAGCTCCTACAGGCCTTTGAACTAAGGTCAGTGATCTGTGCACAGACTCCCGCTCTCCAAACTTGAAACTCCTCCCATGTCTACACTGTTCCAGGTCCTTCTCCACCACAGATAGAGCCCTGTGCCCTCTGCCTTCCTTCCAAGCTTTTTTTTTTTGGCTTTTTAGAGACAGGGTTTCTCTGTGGCTTTGGAGGCTGTCCTGGAACTAGCTCTTGTAGACCAGGCAAATAAGGCTTTATGGTGACTGTTCCTGCTCTAGTGATGTTCGCTCACCTGGCCTCGGTGTACACATTGAGAGAAGAGAGCAGGAACATTTGATCCAAACAGCTCTAGCAGAATGTTTCTGGGGAAGCCATCTTTCTAGGCCTGTTTGCCCCTAATCCATTCCCCATGACCTCACAGGAGGTACTGTCCTCTGCAACCCCTCATCCTACCCCCATCCCATGGGGGTGGGTATTGGGTTGGCTGTATGCCCAGCAAGCTATAGGCCCTAGGTTTAATCCTCGGCCATGCAAAAAAAAAATCTTAAATTAAAAATTGTGTGATTGCCGGGCGTTGGTGGCTCACGCCTTTAATCCCAGCACTCGGGAGGCAGAGGCAGGCGAATCTCTGTGAGTTCGAGACCAGCCTGGACTACCAAGCGAGTTCCAGGACAGCCTCCAAAGCCACAGAGAAACCCTGTCTCGAAAAGCCAAAAAAAAAAAAAAATTGTGTGATTGCTCCCACTGGAATTGGTAATAATAGAATTCGCCAATGAGAAACTGATAGGAGAAATGGAGGTCACTCCACAGGGAGTTACCACAGCTCCAGGTTCCACTGGTGACCTGAGCTCTAGCACCTGCCTCCAGGAGGAGGGGAATGTTGAGAGCCCTGATCCCTGGCTCCAAAAAACCATCCCCTCCCTTTATCCTTCCAGTTCATGACTCCTATAGTCCTGTTAACACTGACAACTTCAGAGTTGCCTCCACTGCTAGGCTAGATCCCCAGCTCTCCCAGCATTGGTTCAAGCTTGCGAGAACATTTTTAGGGCTGTAGATTTAAGTAGGGTGAGAGGAGAAGCTGCCAGGGGGAGCTATTTGAGCAGAGGTGGGACCGTTTGACCAGGATTTTTCTGGTTGCTTTTTGGAAAACACAGTAGACTCCAGGACACAAAACAAAGAGAAGCTGAGCAAAATAATTGCTCAAAACAGAGTCAAACCTAGGCCACAGTGAGATCCTGTGGCAGTTACAGAGGCTTTCCAATTTTTTTAGTTTTTTTTTTTTCTGTGATATGTGGCATATTTCTCTCCCAACCTACAGCATTCCACCACAATACCTAAAACAGTAGACATAAAATACTTTTAAGCTTATTTATTTTGATTTTGTGTGTATTGAATGTTTTGCCCACATGTATGCATGTGCATAATGTGAGTGCCTGTGCCTGCAGAAGTCAGAATAGAGCACTGGATCTCCTAGAACTGGGGAGTTATAGACGAATGTGAGCTACCACTTGGGTGCTGCATCAGGGTCCTCTGGAAGAGCAACAAGTACTCTTAACAACTAAAACCATCCATTTCTCCGGCTCCAACAGTATACATTTTTTAAAAGGAAGTCGGGGGGGGGGGGTATCCTGTGTACAATGAATGCACCACACAAAAATGGCCTGCCTTTCTGGCTTGTATATTAACTCCTCAAACTTGAAGAGCTTATCTAGAACTGTCCTATGTCTCCCAGGAGGCACTAGTGAATGTCTCCTGAGTGCTGAAAGAATGATGGTTGTCCTGTGCCAAGTGCCACAAGCAGTGTGTGTAGCCGTTGTCAGCACTCCACCCTTGCAAGGGTGGTGTCCCTGGGGCCCAGTTCCTCCGGCCTTCCTCGAGAGCAGGCCTTCCAGCTGCAACAGGAGACTCCTTATACATGACCAGGCTACCCAGTCCTCCCACCGTGGCAGGAGCTTCCTGTTTAGGGTGGAAAGGAACCAGACACTTTCCTGTTAGCAGGTCTCTTAAGCAAAGCTGCAGATGCTGAGCAAATCACAGCCCAGTGTTGCCGGCCAGATGCCTGGCGGGCAGACAGCCTTGATGTGGAAGGGAAGTGAGGCGCAGTGCCAGATTGGCCCAGCTTTTATTGTGTTCCTCATGTATCCCCAGGGTCCTGGTGTGAGTAAAAA